AAATTAGGTAGGTTACTGTTGTAGATAGATACATAATAAGGAATTTATTAATATCCTAAATTGGATCCGAAAAAAGATAAAAGTAGATATATAATAAAATTAAAGAATGGAATATTTAATGGATATTATACTTAAAGAAAGAAAACTAATGGAAATTATCATTTGATAAAAATTAATTTGTATCGCAAAAAGATAAAAAATTGGGGATTCATGGAGATTAGTAGGGGATTTTCTTTACTTTTTAATTAATTAAATTGTCTATTTTATATTATTATTATTGTTATTATTATAAAATTATTTTATTTTTGTTTATAAATTATATAAATGTTAACATGACTGACTCTACTATTTTTTGAGAGAATTTGAAGCTACATAAATTTTTAAAAATAATTTTTTTATTTTTACTTATCAGTTTAATTTAATTCAAAAACATATTAAATATTTATTGAGCAAGTAATCTACCTAAATTTACAAAAGATAATTAAAAACACAGTTTTTTATTTTTATTTTTGCTTACAAAAAAAATATTTAAAATTAATACTTCATATAAAATAACGTAAAGATATTTAAAAAAATAATGTTATTTTTAATATTTGTTTATTAATAAGATTATTAATTTAGTGATAACAATACATAAACAAATAACAATTAAAAAAAGAATCTCAGATTTCTTAAATTAATTGTATCACCTAATTTTAAAAAATATTGCGAGCTGCAACATTCTTTTAAAACAAAAATTATTTGTATAAGATAGATTTAAAATATTTTAGAGTTAATGAAAATGATAAATAATGTTATTTAAAGCATTAACTACTTTCTAACAATTAAATTTATGTGAAAATAAATAAATATTGTTTATAATAGTTTACTTTCTATTTAGGTAGATAATATTTATTGATGAGTGCACGAGTGTTCTGGGAATCTGGGAATATTAGAAAATTTATTTATTTAAGAAAATTTATTTTTTAATTTTTTATAAGCAATTTATTAACTTACAAAAATATAAATGATATTTATAAATAAATATAAAAACAATAATAAAATTTATCTATATATCTATATTTTAGGTTAAAAAAATTTTTTCAAAATATTAAATAATAAAACATAATAATTTATTATTAAAACAGTTAATATTTATTCATCCCTTTTTCGCCACTTGATTATCTTCAGAATTTTATTTTAAATACAACTAATCTTTTTGATTAAAGACACTTGCTTATTACTTTTGATATTTATGATTCATTCATTTAGTTAGCATTACTATTATAAATTTGAGTAAATTTTAAATAGATATTAAATAAAATAAATTTTTTTTTTTTTAAATTATATATCTTAATTTACTCAATAAAAAAAAATTGGAATAAAAATAATAAATCAAATAAAAGATATCAAATAAACTCAAAGAACTTTATTGTTTTTTAATTAGTTTTTATAATAAAAAATACCACAATCCAAAATAAATAAACTCTTCTTACGAAAGGTAGAGTGTCAAACTTGAGAGATTAATGCAATTTGATAGACCAGAAACTAAGCCTAAAGCACCCGTTGCACGAAATTAATTCTGACTTTTTAAATATTGAAGAAAAAATATATAATTAAATAGTTAATTAGAAGGAAAAAATAAAGAAAAAATATGATTAATTAATAAATTAACAAAGAAACAAGAAAAAAAAAGCAATCATAATAAAAAGAAAAAGGATAAAGAGCTTTATTGTTTTTATCTTTTATAATTGAAAATATCACAATTCAAAACAAATAAACTGTTTTTACCCAACATTAAGTGCCAAATTTGAGAGATTAATGCAATTTGCTAAAGCAGAACCTAAGTCTGAGACACCCATTGCACGAATTTTATTGGCACTTTTTAAATATTAAAATAAAAATATATAATTAATTAGTTAATTAGAAGGAAAAAATGAAGAAATAATATAAAATAATAAGATTAATTAATTAATAATTAAATCAAAAGTTGAAAATTAAATGATGAGTTGTTAATTTAACAAAAAAAGATGTAAAAAAGCAAGCATGACAAAAAGAAAAAAAAAAAGAGCATTATTATTTTTATTTAGTTTTTATAAATAAAATAAACATAATCCAAAATAAATAAACCATTTTTACCAAAGAATAAGTTTCAAATTTGAGAGATTAAAGCACTTTGCTAAAGCAGAGCCCAAACATGATGCGCCCTTTGCACCAATTTTATTGGAACTTTTTAAATATTGAAGAAAAAATATACAATTATTAGAAGGAAAAAGTGAATAAAAAATATGAAATAATAAGATTAATTAATTAATAATAAAAGTTAAAGTTGAAAATAAAATGATGAGTGAGTTAAATTAACAAAAAAAGAAGAAAAAAAAATAAGCAAAAATAAAAATATCACAATCTAAAATAAATAAACTGTTTTTACCTAAGGAAAAGTGTCAAATTTGAGAGTTTAATGCAATTTGCTAAACCAGAACCTAAACCTGAGGCACCCATTGCACCAATTTAATTGTCACTTTTAAATATTGAAGAAAAAATATATAATTAATTAGTTAATTAGAAGGAAAAATGAAGAAAAAATATGAAATAATATGAAATAATATAAGTTAAAGTTGAAAATAAAATGAATGATGAGTTAAGTTAACATAGAAACAATAAAAAAAAGCAATCATAATAAAAAGAAAAAGAAAAATAAGCTTTATTTTTTTAAATTAATTTTTATAATTAAAAACAAATAAAATATTTTTACCTAAGTTAAAGTATCAAATTAGAGAGATTAATGCACTTTGCTAAACCAGAACCTAAGCCTGATGCACCTTCATCACCAATTTAATTTTCACTTTTTAAATATTGAGGAAAAAATAAAAAATTAATTAGTTAATTAGAACCAAAAAATGAAAAAAAAAAATGAAATAATAAAATTAATTAAAAATTATTTAATTTAACAAAGGAAGAAAAAAAAAGTAAAATAAAAAGAAAAAGAGCTTTATTTTTTTAAATTAGTTTTTTTATTAAAAATATATCATAATTCAAAACAAATAAACTATTTTTACCCAAGGTATAGTGTCAAATTTGAGAGATTAATAAAATTTGCTAAAGCAGAACCTAAGCCTGATGCGCCTTCATCACCAATTTTACTACCACTTTTTAAAGAATAAATATATAATTAAAAATAATAAGATTAATTAATAATATAAGCAAAAATTAAAAAAAAATAAAATGATAAGTTAAATTAGCAAAGAAAGAAGAAAAAAAAGTAAGCACCATAAAAAGAAAAAAGAACTTTATTTTTTTTAATTAGTTTTTACAATCAAAAATTTCACAATTCAAAATAAATAAATTGCTTTACTGAAGTTGAAGTTCCAAATTTGAGAGATTAATGGACTTAGCTAAAGCAGAAACCATGTTTGATAGGCCCTTTACACCAATTTAATTCTCACTTTTTAAATATTGAAGAAAAAATATATCATTAAATAGTTAATTAGAAGGAAAAAATGAAGAAAAAATATGAAATAATAAAATTAATAATAATAAAAGCAGCAGTTGAAAATAAAATGATTTGTTAAATTAAAAAACAAAAAAATAAAAAAAGCAAGCATAATAAAAAGAAAAAGAAAAAAGATAAATAAACTGTTTTTACTAAAAGCGAAGTGTCAGATCTGAGAGATTAATACAATTTGCTAAACCAGAACCTAAGCTTAATGCACCTTCATCACCAATTTAATTGCAACTTTTTAAATTTTGAAGAAATAAATTTAATTAATTAATTAGAAAGAAAAATGAAGAAATAATAAGAAATAATAAGACAAATTAATTAATTATAAAAGTAAAAGTTGAAAATAAAATGATGAGTTAAGTTAACAAAAAAATGAGAAAAAAAAGCAAGCATAATAAAAAGAAAAAGAAAAAAGAGCTTTATTTTTTAAATTAGTTTTTATAATTAAAAATATATCACAATTCAAAGCAAATAAACTGTTTTTACTTAAGGTAAAGTGTCAAATTTGAGAGATTAATGCACTTTGCTAAAGAAGAACTTAAGTCTGATGCCCCTTTATCACCAATTTTATTAAAACTTTTTAAATTTTAAAAAAATATATAATTAATTAATTAATTAACTAGAAAGAAAAAATGAAGAAATAATATGAAATAATAAGATTAATTAATTAGTAATAAAAGTAAAAGTTGAAAATAAAATGATGAGTAAATTTAACAAAGAAACAACAAAAAAAAGCAATCATAATAAAAAGAAAAAGAAAAAAGAGCTTTATTTTTTAAATTAGTTTTTATAATTAAAAATATATCACAACCCAAAATAAATAAAATATTTTTACCTAAGTTAAAGTGTCAAATTAGAGAGATTAATGCAATTTGCTAAAGCAGAACCTAAGCCTGATACACCTAAATCATCAATTTTATTGTAACTTTTTAAATATTGAAGAAAATATAAAATATATTAGTTAATTAGAAGGAAAAAAGGATGAAAAAATATGAAATAATAAGATAGATTAATTAAAAATAAAAGCAAAAGTTGAAAATAAAATGATAAGTTAAATTTAAAAAAGAACAAAAAAAGCAAGCACAATAAAAAGAAATGAAAAAAGATATTTATTGTTTTAAATTAGTTTTTATAATTTAAAATATCACAATCCAAAACAAATAAACTGTTTTTACTTAAGCTCAAGTGTCAAATTTGAGAGATTAATGCAATTTGCTAAACCAGAACATAAATCTGATGCACCTATTGAACCAATTTCATTTTAACTTTTTAAAAATTGAAGAAAAATATATCATTAATTTGTTAATTAGAAGGAGAAAATGAAGAAAAAATATGAAATAATGAGTTAAATTAATTAAGAAAGAAAAAAAAAAAGCAAGCACAATAAAAAGAAAAAGAGCTTTATAGTTTTAAAAAAATTATTAGAAATATGTCATAATTCAAAACAAATAAACTGTTTTTACTTAAGATAAAGTGTCAAATTTGAGAGATTAATGCACTTTGCTAAAGCAGAACCTAAGCCTGATGCACCCATTGCACCAATTTTATTTAGACTTTTTAAATATTGAAGAAAAAATATAAATTTAATTAATTAGCTAATTAATAATAAAAGCTAAAATTGAAAAATAAAATAATGAGTTAAATTAACAAAGAAAGAAGAAAAAAAAGCAAGCGCAATCAATAGAAAAGAAAAATGAGCTTTATCGTTTTAAATTAGTTTTTATAAATATAAATATCACAATCCAAACAAATAAACTCTTTTTACCTTTGTTAAAGTATCAAATTTGAGAGATTAATGCACTATTCTAAAGCAGAACCTAAGTCTGATGCACCAATTTCATCGCATCTTTAGTTTTAATTTTTTAAATTAATTTTTATAATTAAAAATATAAGAATCCAAAATAAATAAACTGTTTTTATCAAGTGTAAGTGTTAATAAGAAAAAAATGAAGAAAAAATATAAAATAATAAAAATTAAAAATTGATATAAAAATGGAGTTAAAATAGCTAAAAAATTTTTGTTTAAATACAAATCAACGAATAAAGAAAGAAGATAATTTTTATTAGAAAAATTATGTTTTTTAAATAAATTGAAAGTTAAATATATAAAAAATATTAATAATATTTATAAATTAAATATACTAAAGATTAAGATGAAGAACCTAATGAGTTTAAAGTGAAGATTTTAAAAACTTTTTTTATTAATTTATATAAATTTAAAGGATATTAATAAAAAAATTAGTAATTACTTCTTCTAATTTGTAATATCTTTTAATCTATTATATCATTTATTTTATTTTTCTAAAATATTGAAGAGCAATTTATCGAATTTAATTAATTAATTATAAATGGATAAAATTAATAATTATCAAATATTAATTTATTAATTTGGTTTTATGAAGAGATATCACTAAAAAATTAATTTAACATTTATAATTTAATATTAAAATGTGTATTTAAATCATCTACTTAAAAATATATATAGTAGCAATTAGAGATGGGAAGTTAGTTATTCATATTTGAAAAAATTAATGTTCTTATATTTTATATTAAGCTTTTATTAAAAATTTGCAAAATTTACTTTTGAAAAATAAATAAATATATTTACTTATACTAGTTAAAATTTTACTTTATTTCAATTGAAACCATAATTATTTATTTATTTAATTAAGTTGTCAATAACTAACTCATATAAAATATAAAAGTTAATTAAAAATGAATTTAATTATTTCAATAAGGCAATTTGCCCGAGTTGGTTAAGGGGGACGACTTAAGATCGCCTGGATGTAATCCGCGTGAGTTCGAATCTCACAGTTGCCAATATTTTTATTTTTTCAAAAAAATAAATATTTTAAAGTAATTTCGAAAGTAAAACATTTATTTCATTAAATAAATTTGTTAAAATATTTAATAATTTAAATCATTATTTTTTTTATGTTGAAAATATTTCTTTAAATAAACAGAACTTATTTGTATATTTTTTACTAAAATAAATAATATTAAAAATATTATCATGATTGGATTATATGCATATAGTTCACATTCCTCAAATAAATGCAATCACTCAATTCTAGCATTAATATTTATTTAGATATTTTAATTGATAATCATTTTTTCGAATTATACTAACTAAAATTCACTTTGGAAGATTCCAAACAACTGCTGCTAAAGTTGTAATTCTAGTTTTTAATTAAACCAATAGATATTATTTCAAGTTGTGGAATTTAAAGTTCATTTTAAGGAGGAGTTTGTGGATCTTCTTCATTTTCAAGTTTAATAGAAATTTAGTCTTCATAAAGTTCATATTATTTAGATTCGTTTATCACAGATTAATTGGCTTTGAAATTTTATTGTGACAGATCCAACTAGATAGTTATTTTTTAGAGTTCTTTTTCAAAGTTATTTTTTCCAACAGTTTTATTGATTAAATTTTAAGACCCTCCTCCTCCTCCTGCTGCTGCTTTCTTTTCAATTTTATCAAGACTTGATTCACTTTAAATTTTTCCTTTACTTCTTGTAATAGACCTGCAAGATACTACATCTCTTTCCTTAAGTAATTGATGAATATTTTTATTTTATTTAGAATAGATATAGTTATCTTTTATTTAGCTACTTATGTTGTTGTGCACTTTTTTCAGTTTATTAGATTAACAACTGTGAGGATTTAATTAATTAATAACATTTTTTAAATTATATTTTGGAAAATAATAAATGTAATTTTCTTAACTTTCAAATTTTCCTAAAAGTAAATCAAACTCATTTTCTTCAAGAATCATACACACAGACGACTTAGATTCATAATTTAAGATATGCTCAGCATTTTAGTTTTACCTTTAAGCAATTTTTATTTAAGTTTCTTGTCTATTTCTTATTCTTTCATAGCACTAAATATTATTATCTTTTGAAGAAGACCTTTTGAAAACACTTGCGATTCGATTCTGTTAAAGAATTCTCTCAATATTGTTTAACTAATTATCATTAAGCTGAAGATAAGGAATTTCTTATTCATTAGTAGTTACTGAGCTTGAAGGCTACTCCGCTACAATGAATTAATTTAGTGTCTCTGAATCTTAGCACATTTAAGGAACTATAATATTTTTTATTTTATTTTGATTTTGAATATCTTTATCAGAATATTCTCCATTTGAAAAAATTTGAAAGCTCCCTACATTATTTTAAAAAGTTATTTGCCCTGATTTTTTCTTAAACGAAAGTTTCTTCTTTTCAGCAGCAACTTTAGGAGATTCTAAGAAATCGTTAGTAATTTATTTAGATCTTTATACTTCATAAATATTTTTAACAGTGTCAAATTCATCATCTTCAACTGTTTGCTTTGCTCTTGTTTTAAACATAGTATATTAAAAGTATCTCTAATCGTATAAATCTAAATCCTCAAATTAAACTTCCAAAAAATCCAAAAAAGCTTAAGTATTATAAGGAAAATGTTCTAATGTTCCATATTTTTTATTTGTTCTTTTAAACTAGCTATTTCTCACTTAAGGCAAACTAATTTAATTAGCACCAAATATTTTCATCTTTTTTGGGATGAAATGCAAAGAAGGGCATTTTTCTATTTAGTGTAAATTGCTAAAGCAAGATTAACATTTAGAATGTAAATAGCTAATTTGCTCATCGTATCTTAACTTATCTTGCAAATAGATAAATTTTTCATATTGCAGCTTATCTTCTTTAATAACTTGCATAAAATCTCCCCTCTTTATTTTTAAAATCTTACTGAAATGTCTACTTTTAACACTTAGACTTTGTGTTTCCCCAGAAAAAAATGATTTTTCTCCAAAAGAATCACCCTGAATTAAAAAAAAAAATTATTATTATTTTAAAAAAATTTATTCAATTACTGCTTTTTAAAAATCAAAAACAGATTAATTTACAATAAATAACTCATTTTTTAATAAAAATACGGAAGGATTAAAATTAATTATCGATAAGAAATATTAATTTATGATTAAAAATCATTTAACTCCTTTTTTGACATATTTACTGGTTAAAAACTTAAATATAAATTGATAAAAAAAAATACTTGGATTTTTTAAATTAATTTTTAAAATCTGCAAATATTTTCAATTAAAAATAATATGATTCAAAATTTTTGAATAAAATTAAGGTTTTATAAAGGCAAAACGTTAAATTTTAAAAAAATGAATAGAATTATTTTAAAAATGAAAAAAAATAATTAGCTGAAAGTATTAATTGAAATATTCAATACTCTACTCAGTAAACATATGGGTTCTCTATTTTTAGCATGATTGCTATTATTTGATTGCTTATTGTAAATTTCGAGTTCTCCAAAAAGGACAAAGATAAGACAGCATTCTAGATTACCCTCTTCTTACTAAATTATAACTTCTCCTGGCGTAAGCTTTTGCTCTTTGATTATGGGGATACATTTGGAAAGTATTTCAAGACTGAAGTTTTCTTTGAGAACTTTGCTTTCTTTTAGGATTAGTTTATTGGATTAGATTAGAAGTTCTTCTTTAAGATTATCAGAAAGTTAAGATATTATCTTGTTTTCTTCTTATAAGTTCTCATCTAAAGATTCCTTCCAATAGTATCTGATATATATAACAAATAATAATTTAATAAATTTGTTATTTTTGTATTTGATTTAATTAATTTGTAAGATACATTATGTAACAAATTAAAAATTCATTTAATTTTGAGTAAAAAAATTAATTAATTAAAACAGGTGGAATTACAATTGAAACTGTAACCTAAATAAGTATGTTTATTTGTTTATTTTTCCATTTATTTCTTAATTCCTATTTTATTGTAATTCAAAACTAAATAAAAACAATGTTCTTTTTTGGTGGTATTTTTATTGTGTGTAATTCATTAAAATGTATGCATTTATTACTCTAAATACTCGAATATGTTTTTCCTTGTATTTTCGTCAATTTAATTTTTATCCATGTAATTAGCTATAACATATCGCTTTTCTTGAATTATTTTCTCTTTTGTAAAGAAGTCTTAGAAAATCTCTCCAATAGAATTCAGAGTAAATCCAAATACTATGCAACAGGTGATGATTAAAAAAACGCTTATTGAAACTTCTAATGGGTTAGTTGGTCTTATATCTCCATATCCAACTGTGCACATTGTAACAGTGATGAAATAATATGAATAGAGGTATTATGTATACCAAGGGGAGTCTTCTAAATTCATTTAGTTTATCCATGAATTATCTGGGGTTCCATCCTTCGAAGAGCTCTGAGTGGAACTTTAACTTCCTGAATTTCCATCATTGAATTCTAAAGAGACCCTTCCTATTATCAACCAAATACAGGCAAAAATATGAGAAATAAATACAATGTTTTTGATGAGATTTATTAATTCTATTAGATTCTACATCTTTCTATCAAATTAAAATTTCAGCTTTATCTTTTTAATGATCACCTAGAAGTCATTTAGCTTAAAAATAATAGGTAGCAAGAGAATTAAAAGCGCTCTACTTTATTCAATTCCACTAAACGATAAAATATAATATAAAGATGAAAAAAATATAGAGCAAATATCATAATAAAATGCTATCGTTGATTTATAATAACTAAATATTTCGCGTCTGTTTAAGCAAAGAATACCTTTTATGTAAATCGCAGTATTTATAGTTACAAATATGTCTAACACTAGGCACAATTAGCACAGAAACAAAATCTTTATGGAAAAAATGTTTTCGATATCTTCATTTATTGAAAACGCAATCAAATAAAAGAAATAGCAAACCGCTATGCTACTAATTTTTAACATTTGCCAAACATTCAAAATATAATTTTAAGGCAAAAAGACAGGGATTGAAAAGCTATTTAATAATTTAACAATTTCTACTTTGTTGCTTTTGATGAATTTCTTTTCCTTCAAAGTATTTCTATCGCTTCGCTGATAAGTACTTAAGTCATTTATTTAAGTAAGCTAATTTTAAGTTAATTGTTTATATAGCCTTATTCTACTTAAGCTTAGAAATGTTTTTATATATTTTTTAAATTTGATCCTTTTAATTAGTTCGTCAACTTTTTACCACACGCTTTTTCCTTCTTAGTGTAAAGCATCAATATTCATATTGCTAACTTGGCCATTATCAAAAGTCAATTCTTAACATAATTATTTCTTTGAATGATCAATATCTAAATTTTTCTTTGAAACTATCTAGAAGCTTTCCTAATTATTTTATACAAAACTAAACTTTTTAGCAGCCCTATGCTTTTGAAAGCTTTTTTGAACACTAGTGCGATTTACATCAAGAAGAGTGTGAGACCTGTAATAATTATTTGATTAGTTTTGAATTAGCGAAGTTTCTTTCGTTGGAAGATTAATTCTTCTTTCGCTCATCCTTTTTAAATATGTAAATTTTTTAAAAAATTGATTTAAAAGTTAATAAGCAAAATTAATTAATTATAAGTAGATTGAGTGTGGTTCAAAATTAGTTCTTTTTAAAAAATTTTTGATTATGTTAATTTAATTAATTTACAATTTACATATTTTTTAGATTATATTCATTTACATTTCAATATTACATTACACATCATTAGACAGACAGACAGACCCTTAAAGTTAAACATTTAATAAAATATAAATAAATTAACTTACATTCAAATAAAATAAAAAAAATGTTTGCTTTAAAAATTTTAATGATTACTAAATACCATTAAAATTTATTTTGGAATAGTTATAAATAAAAGAATTAATTTATACAAATAGTCATTTTAATATAGCTTAAATTCTCAACAATATTTAAGAAACCAATCAGAATAATTAAAAGGAATAACTAAATTTATCTTCAATCTTTAAGGATGCGAAAAAACAATTTAAAAATAATAATATTTCATTAAAAATTGCATAACTTCTCATAAATATTTCTATTTTATCAATTATATTTATTATTCTCTTTATATTAATTTGAATCTCTCAATAGTTTAAATATATTTTAAGGTTTAGGAGAACAATAAAGTTTGATAAAAAATTTATCTGAATCTTTTAATATGATGAAAAATATTTATAAAGAAAATGAACTGTAATAAATAATAATGCTAATAAATGCAAAGTTATTTAAATTTTAATATAAAACTTATCCAAATATATAAAAACAGTGCTGATACATGTAGGGATATATCGCTTAGTTTTTATGCTTTTATATTTATTCATTGATTCTTTATTTTAGTCCTTTCATCATACTGTTTTTAATAAATATTTGAGGCAATTCTTATTTTTTTGCAAATTTTACTAATTAATTTCTGATATTTTAAAATCAGACTGATTAATATTTTTATAAATTATTACTTTGAATTATATTTATGAATCTAGATTTTTACAAATATAAACCCTTATTTTTATGATATTATTTTTATTAAATATTTAAATCATATATTATAAATATTGAATTAATTATAACAAACATATTAAATATTTTGGTAGAGAAATTGAAGAGACTACATAACCAGGATTTTAAATTTGAATTATTTTTTCGTCAAAATTGTCAAAAATATTTTTATATTGCTGATATTATTCAACTCAAAAATATATTTTTTTATTTACCCCCTACTATATAAAATAAAAAAATATCTCCATAAATTATTAGAATACAAAATATTTAAATTAAACTTAATATTTTAATTTATATAATTCAAATATTTTATATTATTGATCCTTTTTCACCACCTATTTATCATAATCAGAAATTTATTTGATAGGCTACTAATCTTTTTGATTTAAGACAATTCCTTTTTTCTTTCAATTTTTACGATTTATTGATTTTGTTACTCCTTTTAACATAAATTAAGTAAATTACTAAAAAAAATGAAATTAAATAAAATTTTAAATTAATTAAGTATTATATATATTTCAAATAAAAATTTTAAATTAAATATTATATTTCAAATAAAAAACATTAGCAGAGTAAAAAATAAAAATGAATTAAATAAAAAAGCTAATAAATAAATAAAATAAAAGAGTTTGTTATATTATTTTAAATTCATATTATATTCAAAATATCTCAATCCAAAAAAAATAAATAAATAATTAAACTCTTTTTACTAAAGATAAAGTATCATATTTAAGAGATTAGTGCACTTTCTTAAACCATAACATAACTCTAATGCATTTTTATTACCAATTTTATTCCCGCTTTTTTAATATTGAAGATTAAAAAAATAAATAAATTAATTAGTTAGTTAGTTAGAAGGAAGTTAGTAGGAAAAAATGAAAAAAACTATGAAATAATAAAAAATTAATTAATTAGTTATTTATTAATAAAAATAAAAATAAAAGTTTAAAATGAAATAATGATGAGTTAAATTAACAAAATAATACAAAAAAATATAAGCAGAATAAAAAAAAGAAAATTAATAAAATAAAAACCTAATTACTTACTTACTAAATTACAAAAGTTAATAAGTTATATTGTTTTAATTTAATTTTTATTAAAAATTATCATAATCAAAAATAAATATTCTGTTTTTACGTAAGATAAAGCTTTACATTCGAGAGATTAGGGCACTTTCCTAAACTTGAGCCTAAGCCTGATGTTCCTTCATCGCCAATTTTATTACTGCTTTTTAAATAGAAGAAAAAATATAAAACAAAGTTTATTTATTCGTTAGTAGCAAAAAATAAAGAAAAAATATGAAATAATAATAAATTAATGAATAATAAATGCAAAAAATGGTAAAAAAAATAAATTATATATACAATCAAACAAACAAAAATAAATAAAGAAAAATAAATCAAATAAATTAATTAAAAGAGTTAGTTAGTTTATTTCATTTTTATATTCAAAAATTTCACATTCCAAAACAAATAATATGTTTTTACTTAAGACTAAGTTCCAAATTTTAGAGGTTTATGCAATTTTCTAAACCAGAACTTAAACCATAAGCACCTTCGTCACCAATTTAATTATCACTTTTTAAATATTGAAGAAAAATTAGATAGTTCATTAGTTAGTTAGAAATAAAAAATGAAGAAATAATTTGAAATAATAAGAAATTACTTAATTTGTAATAAAAATAGAATTTGAAATTAAAAAATAAATGAATAAAATAAAAAAAAAGAAAGTAATAAAAACTAATAAGTATATATTGTTATAAATAAATTCAATCCAAAACAAATAATTCATTTTTACCTTAGCTAAAGTGTCAAATTTGAGAGATTAGTGCACTTTCCTAAACCAAAACCTAAACCTGAAGCACCTTCATCACTAATTTTATTACTGCTTTTTAAATTATATAAGAAAAGATTTATAGTTAATTAGTTTATTAGAAGAAAAAAATGAAGAAAATATAATTAATAATAAATTTAAAAATTGAAAAATAAATTATGAGTAATATAAATATAAAATTAAATATAGCATAATCTAAAGCAAATAAACTATTTTTACAGAAGATATAGTTTCAAATTTGAGAGATTAATGCATTTTCCTAAACTAAAACCTAAGTTTGATGCACCTTGATCACCAATTTAATTTTAACTTTTTAAATATTGAAGAAAAAATGTTTAGATAATTTGTTAGTTAGAAGGAAGAAATGAAGTAAAAATATCAAATAATAAGAAATGGATTAGTTAATAATACTACCAAAAGTTAAATGAAAAATTATTTAAATTAACAAACAAAGAAAAAAACACAAGCAAAATAAAAATTAAAAGATATCATAATCTAAAATAAAGAAACTGTTTATACTTAAGATCAAGCATTAAATTTGAGAGATTAGTGCACTATTTTAAACTAGAACTTAAGCCTGATGCACCTTCATCACCAATTTAACAATAACTTATTAAATATTGAAGAAAAAGTATTCAATAGTTAGTTAATTAGAAGGATAGAGTGAATAAAAAATATGAAATAATAAGAAATAGATTAACTAATTAATTAATAGTAAAAGCAAATTTTGAAAATAAATAAATGAATAAACAAATATAAAAAATAATGAGAATAAAAAAAAGAAGAACAAATAAATTAAAAGCTAGTAAATAAATAAATAAAAAGAGTTCTTATTTTTTAAGTTCATTTTTATGATAAAAAATATTGCTACAAAAAGCAAATAAACTATTTTTACAGAAGATAAAGTGTCAAATTTAAGAGATTATTGCACTCTCCTAAACCAATCCCTAAGCTTGATACACCTTTATCGCCAATTTAATTGCTACTTTTTAAATATTGAAGAAAAATATAATATTTAATTAGTAAGTAAAAACAAAAAAATAAAGAATAAATAAAAAATGATATAATTAATAATAAAATTAAAAGTTGAAAATGATAAAATGAATATGATTAAGAAAGATAGAAAGAGAAAAACACAGACAGAATAAAAATAAATGATAATTAAATAGCTAACAGATAACAAATAGGTTTGTTTATTTTAATTTAATTTGTATCAATCCCATAAAAAATAAACTGTTTTTACTCAAGATCAAGTGTCAAAGTTGAGAGATTAGAGCATTTTCCTAAACCAAGACCTAAGCCTGATGCACCGATTGCATCAATTTAATTTTTACTTTTTAAGTATTGAAGAAAAATTATAAAGTTAATTAGTTAATTAAAAATAAAAATGAAGAAAACATATGAAAAAATAAAAAATTAGTTAATCAATAAATAATAAAAATTAAAGTTGAAAATAAAAAATAAATGAGTTTTATATAAATAAAAATGAAATAAAAAGACAAGAAGAAATATAAAAAAAAATAAATCAAATCAAAAACTAATAAAAAATTAAACTAATTGTTTTATTTTAAAGTCATTTTTAAATATAGCTATCTAAGAAAAATAAATTGTTTTTACGATAGTTCGAGTGTCAAAGTTGAGACATTAGTGCACTTTTCTAAACCAGCACCTAGACTTGATCCACCTTCATCACCAATTTAATTTTTACTTTTTCATTTTGAATAAAAATTTTTAGTTAAGTATTTAGTTAGAACGAAAAAGCAAAAAAATTATTAATTAATTAAAAATAAAAGCAAAAGTTGTAAAAAAAAATAGTAAATTTAACAAAAAAAAAAACAGAAGAAGAATTATAATAAAAAAATTAATCAAATAAAAAGCTAATAAATATATTAAAAGAGTATTTATTTTATTGTTTTATTTTAAAATCCCACTATCAAAAACAAATAACTATTTTTACCGAAGGTTTAGTGTTAAATTTGAGAGATTCGTACATTTTTCGAAGCCATAACCTAAGGCTGAAGTTCCTTCATCACCAATTTAATTATAACTTAATAAATGTTGAATAAAAAACGCAATTATTTAGTTAGAAGAAAAAAATGAAATAATAATATAAAAGCTAAAGTTGAAAATTAAATATTGAGTAAAATTAACTAAAAAAAACACAAGCTTAATAAAGAAAAAAAAAAAAAATAAATGAATGTTCTTAAATTTATTTTTATATTATAATATATCATAATTAAAAGTAAATAAACTGTTTATACCGAAGCTTAAGTGTACAATTTGAAAGATTAGTACACTTTCCTAAACCAGCGCTTAAGCTTTATGCACCTTTATCACCAATTTAATTTTCGCTTTTAAATTTTAATGAAAAAATATATTGTTGATGAGTTAGTTAGAATTATAAAAATGAAGAAAAATATGAGATAAAAAAATTTATTTAAAATAAAGTAATAAATATTTGAAAATTAAAAATTAAATAAAATTAACAAAAAAATATACAAGAAGAATCTAAAGAAAATTAAATCATAAAAAACTAATAAATAAATTAAAATTTATTGTTTTATATTAAAAAATATCATAATAAAAAAAAAACAAATAAAATGTTTTTACTCAAGATCAAGGGTCAAATTTGAGAGATTAGTGCACTTTTCTAAACCAGCACTAAAGCCTTATGCACCTTAATCATCTATTTAATTTTGACTTTTTAATTATTCAAGAATAAATATAGTAAGATAGTTAGTTAGTTAGTTAGTTTGAAGGAAAAAGAAAATATATAAAATAATAAGAAACAAATAAATTTAATTAATAATAAAAGCAAAAATTTAACATAAAAAATTAAACAAAAAAAAAGCAAAAATCCTAAAAAAATAAAAAATTTATATAAATAAATTAAAAGAGTTGGTTGGTTGTACTGTTTTAATTTCATTTTTATATTATAAAATATCACAATCCAAAACAAAAAAACAATCAATTTTACACAAGACATAATATCAAATTTGAAAGATTAGTGCACTTTCCTAAACTTGAACCCAAGCATGAAGCACCTATTCCACCAATTTGATTGCAACTTATAAATATTAACCAAAAAATAATTGTTAATTTTTTAGTTAATAGGAAAAAATATGAAATTATTAGAAACGAATTAATTAATCAATTATTAATAAAAGTAATAGTATATGCTAAATTTATAAAAAAACAAAAAAATAAATGAAATATAAACTAAAAAAGAAATAAAAATGCTTTTGTTTAAAATTCATTTTTAAATTAGCAATCCAAAACAAACAAATGTTTATACTTAAGATCAAGTATTAAATTTGAGAGATTGGTGCACTTTTCTAAACCAGAACCTAACACTGATGCTCCATCACAACAAAATTTATTATAACTTATTATATATTGAAGAAAAAATAAATATTTAATTATTTAGGTAGAAGGGAAAATTTAAAATAACAAGAAATTAACTCTAAATATAAAGGCTAAAGTTAAGAATGTAAATAGAGTTAAATTAATAAACAAATAAAAAATAAAAAAAGAAGAATTAATCAAATAAAAAGTTAGTAAATAAATAAATTAAAAAGTAAGTTAGTGATATTTTAAATTTATTAAATGATAAAATATCAAATCCAAAAAAAAAAATGTTTTTACCGAAGCTTAAGTGTCAAATTTAAGAGATTTGTGCACTTTTTTAAACCAGAGCTTAAGCCTGATGCACCCTCATCACCAATAAATTTTCCACTTTTTAAATATTAAAGAAAAGATTTACTTAATTCCTGAGTTAGTTAGTTAGTTATTTAGGAAAAAGTGAGGCAATAAGAAATTAATTAATTAATAATAAAAGCAAAAGTAGGGGGGGAAAAATAAATAAGTTAATTGACCAGCAAATAAACAAAAGTAAATTAAATAAAAGCTAATAAATAAATAAATTAAAGGATTTAAAATGTTTTAAATTTATTCTTTTTAAATATCACGAAAAGAAACAAATAAACTGTTATTACTCAAGAAAAAGTGTCAAATTTGAGAGATTTAAGCATTTTACTAAAGCAGAACCTAAGCTTGATACAGAAATTGCATCAATTTAATTATAACTTTTTTATGAAGAAAAAATAAAGAGTTATGAGATAGTCAAATAGAATATAATAAATTAAGAAATGGATTAACTAATAAGAAAAAAAAGTTGAAAATGAACAAATAAGCTAAATAACTAAGAAAAATAAATAAATAAAATCAGAATTAAAAAAATAAATCTAATTAATTTGTGATTTTTAAATATTGGAGAAAAAAAAATAGTTAATTAGTTAGATAGAAGAAATATAAATTCTTTAAGTTGTCTATTGTAAAGACTTATGCTATTTGAACTAAGATTAAAAACAGTTAACTTTGTCAAATGATTCAAATTAAGATAAATAATTAATAACCAAATAAAAATTAGCGGAAATTATAAATATTTATAATAATAATAATAAAATAGATGAAAGTTTCTATTTAAAAAGTAAAAATTAATATAACTATAAAATTTAATATAAAAAATATTAAATGATAATAAATTAGATCAACCTCTTCAGATCAATATGAAGAACCTAATGAGATTCAAGTGAAGAATTTAAAAACTTTTTTTATAATTAAAAATAAATTTAAATAAAATTAATAAAATATTTACTTTTTTTAGATCATAGAAAGAGCTATTCTATAAGATCATTTATTTTATTTTTTTTTTCAAAAATCTTGAATAGCAACTTATGAAAATTTAATTGATAATAACAATATTAAAAAGTTAATTTACTTTTATTTCTATTTAATTTGAATAAAAAAATTAATAAATTATAATGATTATCTAAAAATAAAAATTTACTTTTAGAAGATTTATGAAAATATTTTTGTGTATCATACTTTATTAAACTTTAATATTTCTATTTAAAACTTATACTTAAAATATTCTATTAAATTTAATATTTTTCACTTTACCAAATTAAGAAAATCTTAATTAATTACAAAAATTTATTTTTCTTCTTATTATTATTATTAATTAATATAAATATTAATAGTTGAACCAATTATACAGTCCAACCTGTCTAAGTTGGGCACATCGGGACAAATGGCAAAAATTTTTTTAAAAAAAGCTAAAATTAAAAGAAAAGAATAAAAAATTGAATTTCATTGATTTAAAATTAATTGTTAATCAAAATTTATTATTAATATTTTCATACTCAAAAAAATTATTATAAATTAAAGGCATTTAATAATATAAAAGTAATTTACTTAATTAATATAAATACTTCTAACTATTAATATATTTCTTTTTATATTTAAATTTATATAAACAACTGCTTAAATTAAATAAATAGTTGTATAAAATCAGAATTTGCAGTTATCAACTATTTTCATTTCCTTTTAGGTAAAATCTGTTGCCAGAAGTGTGCAAAACTAATTTTAATTGATATCAATACTTTTTTCACTAAATTTAATGTCTTTATAGAGTGATTGTAAATATTATTTTATGTTCTAAGCATATTATTTATATAGTTATTAGTTGAAGTAGCTCTAGTTTTCTATTTAATTAGAATTAAAGGCTTCTAGTATTGCAGCTAATTAGCTCTTTTAAGATGTACTTTTTGCAGGTTATTTTGAAGATTTATTATCAAATTTATTAGATTTTTATTTTGATGTTTCAGATGTAGTCTTTAGCTAATTTATATCCAAGTCTAGACTAAAAACTTACAAGAAAGTAATAGTTTCCCAACTAAATGATTAACTAGCTTCTTCTATTTCAATTACAATATTTGGTTTTAAATTTTGACCTGCATAAAAATGATTGAGGATTTGCTAACCAATTAAGCTATTTTCTCTTAACTTTTTTGTAAAGTCCTTGCCAAGTATTTTGGGCAATTAATCAGATTATATTGTGAATTATAAAGCCTCTCTTTAATTGTTAAATGGAATAAATCCATAATAATCTAAAAAGTGCTCATTATTATAATTTCCATAAGTTATAAAAATTTATTCTTCTGCAACAAAATGTTTGTATGCCCTCATTACATATTCTTTACTAATTTAATCAAAATAGAAGTATTTGAAATGGTCAATTCCTTCCATAAAAGTATGATTTGCAAGGTCATAAAAAGGAATCATTGCACCAACTTCAGAAGTAGAATCTTGCTCATTTTTAAAAAAGAGAGTTCTTGACTCTATCATAGCTACCAATTATAAAAACTCTGCTTCATTAATTCCTTCAAATATATGAGAGTAGTCTTTATTTGAAGAGATGTAATTTTTAATAGCATCAAATTCAGAGAGCAATTTTTATTACTTCTTTTAATGCTTGGTTTTTAGTTCATCTCTAAGCAAATTAAATTAGATTTCTTGCCATGTGATAGTGTTAGTGTATTATTTAGGAATTGAATTTAAATAGCAATGATAAAAGCTGGATGCATCTTTTTTTTCTTTGAACAAGAAGAAAGCCAGTATACTCTTTTTTTATACATTCAAATTGCTTTTGACTTCTCTTAATATGGGTAATTTAGTAATTGCAACACTCAATGTAATAAATAATGTTTCAGGAATACGAAGAAGTTCTTCTCCTTCATTAACAGATTATTTTGCAACCAGGCATCCACCAAAATTGGAAAGAACTGCAGCTTTGCATTTAAAATTTTTATAATCCTTGATGTTATTTTCAAGAAATAGTTAAAATTCCTTCGATAAGCAGCTATTTTCTTCCATTTAAAATAAATTAACTTTTAATTAGTTAGTATTTAATAGAATTTTTAAGTAGAAAACAAAAAAACAATATCTAAATTTAGCTTAAATTATTTGACTATGATTACAATAAGTTAATTTGTTATCCTGAATTCACCAAATACAAATTTAAGTATTTCTAATAGTTTCTTTTACAAAGTAGTATTTTTAAATCAATATCATGCAAAAAATTTAATTATTTCATTCAATTTTGTTTAGAAATTAAGTAAAGAAGTACTTGCTTTATTCATCCATTTATTTTTTAAAAAATATAAAGAATGAAAATACATTATTAAAAATATCATGCTTTGAATACAAGTTTTTTATAATTTCAAATCCAATATAGTTGGATTATAAAAGAATATATAAAATAAATACACTAGACTAGAAGAGAAAGAGTAGAAAATAATAGATTTTTGTTTAAAAGGAGGCGTTCTTTATATAATTATAAAATGGAAAGAAAGAAAATACTTCAGAAATACTAAGTGAAAGAAATAATATTTGAAAGTTAATCAGTTTTCTATACAGACTCAATTTTGAATAAATTTTTTGTTAAGCTGAAAGAGAAGATGAGAAATTTAGCTTAATATTAGACTTGCCAAATTAAAAAACTTAGAAAGAAAGGGAAAGCAAAGACAAATATCATCTGGAATTAATATTTTTTTTTTTAGAAATAAATTAAAATTTGCTTTACTTTTTATCTGAAAAAAAGAAATTTAAGTAAAGCAGCTCTGATAAATGTATCAATAAATGACAGAATATAAAAGCGACTGAAATTGCTAAGCTAAAAAAATTGATTTTTATGGCTAAATGAACAAAAATAATGGCATAAAAATGCAAAAAAAAGTTTGCTTTGTTTCATTTTAGAAGTATTTTATGAGTCTAAGCTATTTTGAGTGCTTTTTAAGCACTTCAAGTGAAAGCATGAAGCTAAATATCTTTGAGCTAAACCAAAAATTCAAATGAAAGTGGTAATTTGAATTAAAAGCGGTAATCGAAGAGAAAAAAAACCTATTTCTAAAATAAACAGTATGTATAAGCCCTGTTTGTCAAGAAAATTAAAACAATTTATTTTTATCTTAATTTTATTCTTTTTATTGATTTTATATATTAATTTAACAAATAAACATAGATTTACATACATTCCTTATGTAAAAATAATTTACCAAAACAAAAAGTAAAACAAACAAACATAGAAAGAAAGTAAGAAGAATAGCAACCATACTATATTCAATTAATAAATCTTTCATTAATGCATTCTTTCATTATTAATTACTTAAATAATTACATGATTCACATTTTATGTTTAAACTATATAAATTGTTATATTAAATTTCTATGAAAACCAGAAAGAAATAATAATTTATGAAGTTTAAATTCAATATGCAATTTTCTTAGAAGAATTTAACTAAATAAAAGCTTTGATTACGCTATTCTATCATCACGCCTCTATGCCTTTTTGATGGACTGGCTGTGTGAAATTTCTTGATATTCAGTATTGGATCTTAATTTTCAAGCTATCTATAATACTCTCTTGAATGCAACTATTAAAAGTTGAATACAAATGAAGGATATTAATGAAACTCTAGAATAAGATAGCCTACAAATATAGTTATTTGCTAATGAAACTCTCAAATAGCTCTATAAATTCATATAATATAATCTAAAAATGAAAAAAGTTCTTGAAGATACAGAGTGTGTATTGCCAAAAAGCTTTAAGAGATATTATTGTGAAATTAAAAGAGGAAAAATAAATATTTCCTTTGAAATCAAATAAACCCCCTCCTTTGCTTAGGTTAAGTTAATGTCTGAATAAAATATAAAATTTACTTACTGTATTATTAATTATAGAGGAAGCAGCCTATGTCTTTACACTAGAATGTTAAATTGCTTCATTATTGGCCCCCACTATAACTTAACAATAAATTATTAGTTAGTTGAGAGAATTAAGTTTGTTCTCTGATAGTTGGTTGGCTGTTACAATTGACTTGGTATTTGATGCAATTGTTTGGGTCATAAGCAAACAATTTTAGGATGACAAAGTTTTGAATAATTTGTAAACAAATAGATAATATGACAATTTTACAGAAAATACTATCTAATTTAGATTTTATTTGCCTTAAAAATCAATCTGCATTATTAATTTAAATGATTTTTTTTTAAGTGATGCATTTGATTGAAAATTCAAACAATTTTTAGGAGGAAAAGAAATTGATCGAAAATATTTACAAAATTGAGAAAAAATGAAATAAAAATTGCTTTAGATTCTAGCAAAAATATAAATTCTTAAAAATATCATCATGAATTTGAAATTAATAAAATTTATTGAAGGATTTATTGTTAAATACCAATTATGGAATTAATTGATTAAAAGATGGAGAGATTGAACGAATGATTAATTTATTGATTTATTTATTGACTGATGAGAAATTTGATTTGATTAAATAAGAATAGATTGATTAATTAATTTCGAAAACTAAATGCTGCCTGTTTGAATTAATTAAATTTGAATATTTTGATTGGTTAGCTGGCTGTCTTAATAAAATTGTTTGTAAGAAAAGGACCCCTTTTTGAAATCAAAATTAAATGTGCAGAAGATTGATCGATGAGATTAAGCCTAACCTTAACAAACTTAACTTTAAATTAATTATAAACATCAAAAGCTATTATTAAATTGGAAGGTATGATATCATATCTAGGAGCCCTTAGATTAATTTGAACTTAATTTTGTTAGCGCGAAATTCAAATTTTATTTTTCAGATAATCTTTAAAAGCCTCTGTCTTCATTTATTTTCCTTGCAACTAACTTCAGTTTTTCTTAATTCTTCTTAATAGAACGACTGACAATGAGAAAAAAGCGGATGGAATTTTTAGAGATATTTAAATTATTAATGAATTAATTCAGCTAGCTTGTAATTTATTAACACAGAATTTAGAATTATAATAAACAAGAAATAAATAATAAGGAGAGCAAATGCTTGGTTGTTGATTTGTTTTTTTTCCTTCTAAATTTAGAGATTATCTGTAAAGGTTAGTAAGTAATTTATTTAGTTGACAAGAATTGAGTGAACAGTTGTTTAGTTTGTTTCTTTGCTTCTTCTTCTCATGTAAGATAAAGCTACAATTAACAAATTTATGAATTTTTCATTGAAAAATAAGGAAATTTGAATTAGTATTTTTATGAAATTAAGAGGCAAAATAAAATAGCAATTAAAGCAATATGGAAAGTAGATTTAGCAGTAGCGTTTAGTTATAAACAATGGAAGACATTTAGCATAGCAATCAAGCATTTAAGAAAATAGGATTAATCTGACGTCATTAGAATTGGAGTAAAGCAAATAAATGTGAATAGAAAAGGAAAAAAATTAGAAAATAAGAAGGAAGAAAAATTAAATAAAAAAGTTACCTAAATTTAAAATAGAAGAAGCTTTTTCATTCAATCATTCATTCATTTACCCACCACTTGCATATATATATATATGTGCACCTACCCCCCACCATTTAAGAGCATAGATAAATAAAAATAAAAGAACAGTAAATAAAAGGGAATAAAGAATAATATTAGCATGTGTGAGATGCTCATTGAGCATAATTTTCGTCCACCATTAAAAAAATGCTAATTTGAAATGAAATTAGGCAAAAAAAAGCACTAATTTATTCATTTTCTTTCGAAATGTTTGCTAATTAAGTTTGAAATATTACGTCAGTCAATGAAGTATATTGATTTTCTTCACTTTATTCTTTACAAATTAATGGGTATAGTCTGACTCATTTAATAATAGATTCAAAAAATAGGTTTTTTTGCATAGATGCATAATTAAGATAGTAAAAGAATATAATTTATTTCTCAGCGACTCCTGTTTATTTCTTATTACTAACTGGCAGCCTAGCAGTTTATCTAATTAGCCGCATTAATTAATAATCCTTTTAAATTTCCATCAGAAAGGCATGAATGAATGAAAGCAAGCAGCAAATTTATTTGTAAAAAAAGGGGGTCTTATCTTATCTATTTTCTCTCTGCACAAATGAAAGCAATGTTGAAACAGATTTTTGATGATTCAGTTATGTGTTTTTCTATTTTTATTGACATATCAATCACTACTCTTGAGTACTTACGAAATTTCCTATGAAAAATGGATTATTAATATATAGGTTTTCCTTTGGCTTACATAATTTTTAAAAAGCAAGTCCGTCAGTAAGCAAATTTAAATACTAGATCAGCTTTTAATTTCTATTGAATCTATAATTAAATATTATAAAAAAAATCAATAAATTAAAAAAGCCTAAAAAAAAACCAAAAATCTACTTCCATCAAAAACTAATAGAGTCAATCAACCTGCTAGCAATCAATCAAGATTTAAAAAGCTTAAGCAAATATTTAATTCTACTAAACATATAAACAATCTATCAATCATTGAAGGAAAGAGGTCTACTCACTCAAACATTAAAAACTCTACCACTTAAACACATATCATCTAATACAAAAGAACATTGATATTTGCATAAACAAATAACAAGTTAAGCATAAAGAATACTAAAGAAATACTTCCCTTAACCACAGCCTGAAAAAATTTAATATAAAGAAAACCTATTTTAGTTTATTTTTAATAAGTCAGAGTTACTCTTCTACTTAATAACAATTTTAATAATTAAAAATTAATTCAAAATATCCAACAACAACAAAAAAAAAAATCTAATCAAACTACTAAACTAAACACAAAATAAAAATGGACTCATCATTTTCTTTTGAAGAAGAAGGAGATTAATACATCATCGACACCAGCTCCAACAATAACTGTAAGGAAATAGTTGCTTCTTAAATACAATATGGAGATTTCATTATTTTGAGTGATAGCGAAGTTATTTAAGTTGACAGTGTCCGTAGAACTACTAAGTCTCGCTCTCAAAAGAATGAAATGAATATTCAAGGCAGAAACTTAATGAAGAATAGTGTCTTTGTCTAATACAAATTCTCTCCTAACAGAAATCTTCGTATTATAAAGAATGCCTAAATCAAGGACTATCGTATTGTCTGCTTCGAGCCTGAAGAAGAACTCATTTATGTCCATGGAAATGGAGGTGTTCAACAAGTTAAAATCTCAAACAAGAAAGATGAATTCGATGTTGTTTCTCCCAACCTTAACAAAATCATTGCTAGATGTCTCTTCTACGATGGTCAATACCAACTCTTGGGCTTCTTTGCCGACTCTAGCAAGTAAGAATGAGAGAGCAAATAGACTATCACCAATATAAGCCTTATTTCTTTCACTTTCTTATTAAAAAAACAAAATAACATAACCATTAAATACAATTAATCAAAACAAAAACAAAAAAATAAATATTTTAAATCAACTAACAACCAAACACAAACAAACATTACAAACATGCTCAGTAGGGCAATAAACAAACAACATAATTTATAAATAAATAACTATAATTATTATACTTTTATAATTTTGAGCTCTTCTTGTTTATATAGCAGTCTCCACTCTTTTGTCTATTCTCTTTAAGCTTAATAACATAAATAAGCAAGTTCTTCTTTAATTTTTCTTTTGAGTATATGCACGTTCTTGCATATTTCGCTAAGAAAGAAATAGACTATTCTCAAAAAAGTTCTTCTAATTAAACCAGCAAATAAATTTCTGTTTACTTTATTTCTTAACAGATCTATCTATTAACCAAGCAAACCGAATATTTCGTCAAGCTAATTAATAAAGCAAACAAAAAGCAAAAAAATATAAAAGTATTAAAACACTATTCCAAAAATACAAACAAACAAGCAAACAGACTTACAAACAAAGAAACAATTATCAGGCAATCGCTTTTTTGCTCAGCAATAAAGAAATTGCTAATAAAACCAAAACATAAACCTTTTATCATGAAATAAACTATATTTGAATATAAAATCATAAAATTTTAATAATGATACATACATACTCTAATAAGCTTAAATAAAAATACTTTTGTAAGAATAATATCTACATATTTTATTTTATTAAGATTATCTTTAGTGAAATTAAAATAATTCCTTTATTTTTAAATATTTTCCGCAAAATTCTCCTTCATTTTATACCATTTTAGTAATATTTTAAGTATTAATTCTATTTATTTTGCAAAAATAAAAATTATTACTATGGCAAAAAAAAAATAGCCTATCGCAACCATTATGTCCAAATATTAATAAATAAACAAAAACTAGGGCAATAATGTCTTTATTATATAAAAAAAAGAGATTTATAGAAAGTATTGAAGACGTTTTAAGGATTTTTGAATCCAATTAATGGAATCAAGATTGACATAAGGAATATTTAATTCATAATCCTAATTATTAAACACTTATCTCAGTTTGTTTATTTTCTTTACACAAATTAAAATTAAATTTCAAAAAATCATCAAAATCTAATGATTAATCAATCTATGTTTGGTGTTTTTTATCTATATCACATACAAAGCATTCTTTTAATCAGTAAATCTTATAATTAGTTAACGTCATGAATTTCTTCTATTTTCCCTCGCTTATGAAATTTCCACTAGTCTGAAATTAACAAAATTTAAGTTATCTAGCATATTTTTTTCCACTTTTTTTACTTTGAAAACAATTGTAAAAGATATAGAGAAAAATTATAAAACTTTGATTTAAAATGTCTCTTCCTTCTACTAAATTAATGTAGATAAATATTTTTTTTTTAAATATTTTTTTGTTGGCAGCACTGAAAACCAAATATTTATTTCAAAAAATATCTATGAAAATACATTTGAATTTTAAAATCAAAATAAGTCTGTTTGTTTCATATTGGAATTAAATGATAATATTTTTAATTTACTTACTACATATTTTTAAATAAAAATTCGTTTTTGATTAATTTAAATCTCTCAACTAATTATGAAATAAAAATAAAAGAGGTAATTAATTTAATCACTATTCAGCTACAACTTAAATAAATTGCATATTAACATAAGTGATGATGTAGACGATGTCTTACTTGAATCATTTATTTATAGATAAAATTAATTAATTACTCTTAACCTACTCCTTAAAAAATTTAAATACTCGCCATCTATAACAATTTTTTAACATAAATAAATTCTTGCTACCTGAATTTTTTTTGTCTTTTATAAAAATTTGATTCAGTCACAGTTTTCAGTTTAGCGAATCTCTTTTACCTGATATAATAATATAAAAATATATATATAATAAGGTTTCTAATTAATTATTTTTGATGTAATTGGCTTCTAGCGAATAAATTATCAGTATTTTTAAAAATTGTTTGCTTTCTAAATAATAAATTAGTATTTGTTTATTAGTAAGTTAGTAGATTCTACTTTGACAGAAAAGGAAAGTGAGTTTTAGTAACAAATACTAATAATTTAATAGAGCAAATATTTATTTTTTATTCATTAGTAAAGTACATAAAATTAGGTAGCTAACTCGGTGTAATCTAAAGTTTTTTGGTTATCTCTATCTTAAATACTTTACATATTATGATTACGTTTTGATAAAAAATAAATATATTGTAGAAAGATTTAAGATTAGATAAACAAAATAAATTTTAAATATTTTGTCTCAAACTCTTCTTTGATTGCGTAATTTAAATCTTAATAACAAAAAAAATTATAGAATGTAAATAATTCTATTTATATATCAAAAAAGTTATTAAATTTTTAATAATTTAGATTTTCTATTTAATTATTATTATTATAGTCAAAGCATTATTTTGATAGTCAATTAGTAATATAATAAGTACTTTTTATTTATGCTTTGCTTTTTTCATAGTCGCCATTTAGAATATAAAAAATAATTATTTTTAAATTAATTATTGTTTTCAAATCCTTTAAAGTCATCAAATTTACATTTTATTTTCATATATAAATTCTATCAAAAATAAATTGGAAAAGCTATTTAGAATAATAAAGAAAGTTTAAATTCAATCAAATTTGTTTGTTTATTTGCTTGCTTGCTTGCTTATTAGTAATCCACTAAGTTAGATGCTTTTTCAATTATTATAATAAATCTATTTGTTTTATATAAATTTAATAATAGGAATTTTTAATATATTCTACTATTTAAATAGTCAGTCAATTTATTCATTTATTCAACTAGGTATTATTTATTAAAAAAACAAAAAGGCTGTCGACACTGGGACTTCCCAAGCGGTCCCCCACCTTAGTACTAACCCAGCCTTAAGGCGCTTAACTTCGGAGTTCGAATGGGATCCGGTGTTTTCACCTTAGTATGGCCGACAGCAAAATTTATACTTCTAAATGCGCTCTTATATATGAATTATTTATTTTTAGGATTTAAAATATTTTTATTTTTTGTTTATAATAAAAATAATTAAAAAATAAATAATTCACTTTCATCCATCAATTAAGTTTTGATTTTTAATCTTTACTTGACAAAAAAAATAAAAAGGCTGTCGACACTGGGACTTCCCAAGCGGTCCCCCACCTTAGTACTAACCCAGCCTTAAGGCGCTTAACTTCGGAGTTCGAATGGGATCCGGTGTTTTCACCTTAGTATGGCCGACAGCAAAATTTATACTTCAAAATGCGCTCTTATATATGAATTATTTTTTAGGATTTAAAATATTTTCAATTTTTTTTATTTTTTACAAAAATAATTGACATAGTATTTTTATAATATTATCTTATTTATTTATATTTTTAATTTAAAAATAAAAAAAAGGCTGTCGACACTGGGACTTCCCAAGCGGTCCCCCACCTTAGTACTAACCCAGCCTTAAGGCGCTTAACTTCGGAGTTCGAATGGGATCCGGTGTTTTCACCTTAGTATGGCCGACAGCAAAATATATACTTCTAAATGCGCTCTTATATATGAAGTTTTTAATTGAAATTAGATGAGCTAATTTTATAATTATTTTTCCAAAAATATTCTATTTTTCAATAATATTTTATAATATTTTCTTTTACATTTACTTTTTTCATCTTTTAAAAAAAATAAACTTTTTACTTTTAATTAAAAAAAGGTTGTCGACACTGGGACTTCCCAAGCGGTCCCCCACCTTAGTACTAACCCAGCCTTAAGGCGCTTAACTTCGGAGTTCGAATGGGATCCGGTGTTTTCACCTTAGTATGGCCGACAACAAAATCAATCACAATGTTAGTCAATTTAAATTTGAGCGAAGATATATTTTGTATTAAACATACTATCATTTTTTATTATTTATTTGTTATCTAAATAAATATGATAGATGAAATATCGATATATTGAAATTAACAAAATTAAATTTTAGACAAGGAACTCAAAAAAAGTATTGAGACATTATTAGCTCAATTAAAAATAGATGGTTGAAATATTATCATTTTATCTATTATTTCAAATACAAATAATTAGAATTATTAATAAGCTTCTTGATTGCTCATTAGATATTTTATGTTTATTTGTTTGTTTATAAAATTTTAAGAATTATTATATAGTATATTTCCTTTTCCATTAACCCTAAGCATTTCAAATATTTTTTGTATTAGAGGATGCTTCAATCATTTTTTGTTACTTTACTAATAAAAATTGGTTAAGATAATTTTAATACTTATTATTTATTTAGTTTAATTTATCTTATTTAGTAAAATTTTTTATATTTGTAATTATCAATATAATTTATTTCAAATATAAAATTTTATTTTATATGCTTTAAGTAAAATATCTTCGTTATAAATTTCAGAGGATTTTAAAAAAGGCTTAAAAATAAATAATAACAAAAAATGAAAAGCTAATCAAAAAAATGTAAAAATATTAAAAAATATGTGAATCTTTTAGTTACTGATGTTCTCTTCTTTTAAAATAAATATTTTTAAAATGAAAAGTGTTTTAAAGTAATAAAAGAAAATTAATTACTATAAAAGATATGCTGTAATTAAAATTAAATTTTCTTATCCGCCTTTTTTAGAAAAGAAAAAATCTTTTAATTTTGCTATAAAAATATCTAATTTTTTAATAGTTATTTATTTAATTCAGCTAAAAAACCTAAGCTATTTAATTGGGGATTAGTTTATTAAAATATCAACTATTTATTTAACTGTATAAAAAGCTTCATTAATTTCTATTGAAAGTTACACCACTTTTCATGCTGTTGATTTTTTGATTTAAACAAATTAATGATATTTAACTTACTTATCGTTTGTTCTTTAATCTAACTAGAAGAAATATTATAAAATAAAATTTCTGAATATGAGTTAAGATCCAATTTGAATTTTGCTAAGTTTATATGCTTTTTTTAAAATAAATTAGGATGAAAGTAGGATTAATAATTGCAAAGTTATGTTTGTTGAGTTTTTAAGAATTAAGATTCATTATTTTATAACAGGAATATTTTCTTTCTTTTTGGAAAAAAATATTCAAAAAAGAAGAGGTAAACAAAAAATAAAAAAATAGGTATTACACTAATTTACAGAGATATTTTGTGATGGTAAAAAAAGTAGCAAACAAATGAAATACTGATTAATTATTTGATCATTTACTATTCAAATTGAATAAGCATTCTTATGTAGTTTTTACTTATTTATTTAAAATAAAGTTTATACAAATGTTATTATATGAAGATACAAAATAAAATAATTCTTTTATAATTAATATAATGATAGAAGTTAAATCATTTAAAGGAAAGACAGTTTGTTTTCGAAACTAATAATAAATTTAAATATTATGTAAGCTCAAAGAATAAAAGTAAATATTATTCTTTTTGTGATTAAAATAAGCTTTTCAGTTATTATCAAATAGGTCAAAAAATATAAATTAAGGATTGTAAGTTAATAGAGGGGAGATATTTTCTTAATATGCAATTGATTGCATAAAAACTTAATATAATTTACATATGAGTTCGTCGTATTTTTATTGTTAATTATTTTAAAATAATCTTTACTTCGACTCAGTTTGTAACAAAATAATTTAATTGTCTTATCCTTGGTTTCTAAATAGTTATTCAAATTAGATGAAGCTATGATCTGTTTTATTGATTTATACTATTGATATTTTTTTCTTTAATTATTATTATTGTTTTTGTTGAAGCGAAAGAATATCTTCTTAAATCTGTGAAGTATTATAGATACTGTCCATTCTTATGATAACTAAATTCTCTTTTCCTGCGATGTATTATCTCGAAAATGACTTAGAGATAATTTAGGCTCCTTTAAATTAGTTAAACAAACAATGTATTATTTCACTTTCATTTTGTGGCTCTAGTTGAACGTAAAAGTAGATTTTATAGAATTGTGGATTAATTTTCTATTAAATATAATTTTCAAAGATTTCGTTTGATTCATTTAATTAAGATAAGCAATCTATTTCAAAAATACCCTCAGATTGTTACACCTCTTAATATTTTTTTGATTCCTAAATTAATACTCTAATTAATGAAATCAATGCTGCAGTTACACCAAGTATAAGAATAGACCATTATAAATAAGAAATTTTCTTAGTGTCTTTTAACATTATCGCATAGCACAGCAGTAGTACTGTTTTTTATATTAATGAATGCTTGCCTGTTTTTAATAAGACAACATACCCAACTGATTTATGATCATTTATAAAAATCTACCCATCTATATCAAAATGATACACAAATTTTTCGATGAGTGGATTTTAAGTAAATGTGCTGAGACGTTCTTTTAAATGATATCTGCATGATATAATGATTTGGATTAGGACAAAAATGTAAAAAAAAGAAAACCAGTCTATTTTACAATTCTGCTTGATCATCTACATAAAAACAACAAAATTGAGACAAGAGAGTAAGAATTAAATACCAAATTCTTTTTTGTTGAATTACAAATCTAACTAATCTTAAAAAACCCTAGAGAAATCGAAGTACTTATTAAGAGTATTAACAAAAATATTTACTGATAGCGAGATAAGGATAATAATATCAAATATATTTTAGATTAATAAAAGCCAGCCTTCTCTATTAATTTTTGCAGTAATAAAAAATACTAAAAATTTAGTATAAATTAAGGAGCAACCACTACTTTGTTAAATAAACTAGTAAAATTATATTGCTCTTTCATCTAACAGGGAGTACTTTACTTAACTCCTTAGCTTAAAACTATTGCAATAAAAGTGAATATCCTCAGTAAACGTCATTAACCTTATTAAAGGAAATCCAATAGTGTCTTTCTTCAAAGCTTCAAATCTGTTGAAGATAATTAAAACAGTTACCATTGCTATTATCCAATATTGCGCAGACTAATTTTTTAAATATATTACATTAAATAAAATGAGAAATGCTTAATTTAGTTACCTTGAAGAAAGAGAAATAGTAAAATAATTAAATAACTAGAGCTAGTTTCTCAATAATAATGTAGCATAATGTTAATAATTTTATATTTTTTTGAAAAAAACTCATCATTTTTAATAGTTAATATGTATTTTTAAATAATTAATAATGTTTAAATATATTAATAATTATATATATTTTTTTTTTTAATATTTAGAATGAAGTAGAGGTAATCCTAAATTATTCTTTAGTACTATTGAAATTATTAAATTTAAACATAATAAATTGCTTTTTTTTTTTTAATTTATTACAAAATAACTAATTTTACAATTTTTTTTCTTAATGCTGGCTACAAAAATCTATCCATCTATTTTATTTTGTTTTTTGCTTACAAAAGTTTGAAAGAAAATATACTGCTCATCTTTAAAATAGAATTAATTTTATTATTAAAATCATTAGTATTATAACTAAATATTCTTTGGTTAAAAAATCAATAATAGTAACAAATAATTCACCCTGTCAAATAGATAGACATTTTAGGCCAAATAAATAATATAAAAAAATAAAAAGGTAAGGAAGGTTTAAGAAATTGATGAAGAGAAGGTAAAAGATTTTAAATATGATAAAAGAGCAATATAGGGAATTCAGAGATAATAGTGTAAGTAAGTCATTGCAAGTTATTTTGATTCATTTGATTATTTTAATTTTTAAGAATGAGTTATAAACTGATTTACTAACTTACTTACTTACTTAAGAAGGATATTACAATATTTTTAAAATACAATATAAAAATAAATGAAAGAATGAATTTAACAAAATAAATATTATCTGAAATAAATTATATTTTTTTTGATAAATTATTATCGTATAAATAAATTAAAATATCTCATTGATTTTTATCGTTTTTGACATTTTCAAAACTTGAATTTATTGACTTAGATTAATTTTAAGGACTATCATGATCTTCTTCGTTTTCTATATTATCTTGATATGATTTTGATGAGTTATTTCCCTTCTTATTAAAGTCAAGAACTACATTTTAAATTTAAGATCCTTTTTGATTCTACAAAAATCTAATATCTGAAAGAACTGGGTTATTGCCAGGATCGAAGGATTGATTTAAAATTTCATCTTAGGACACTTGATTTTAAGTGATTTGCAATTCTTGATCTTCTTTTTGCTTTTACTTTTCGATTTGAATGTCTAACTTTCTATTGTAATAGTCATAAATAAATAAGGGTTTTAGTACCTCCTCATCTAATTTCTTTATTAAGCTGGGCTTTTTGTTTTTTTCTTTCTTCTTTCTGCTTTTACTTTCACTCAAAAGTTATTCTCTTATTTTGATCTTCTCTGAAGAACTCATTTTCTTAATAAAAAACTTGATGTAGAATGGCATAAAAGCTCCTAGTACTACTGTAGTGAAGAAGACAATAAACAAAATAGTGCTTATAACAATAGGATTAAGTTCCTTTTCTACTGTAATAATAAGAGCAAAAGCAACGGCACCACGAATTAGTCCAGAAAACCAAATAATAAGCAACTCATAAATGTTTACACTCCATGTTTTTTTCTTGAATAAATAAGCAATACCAGAAGTGATAAATATACATCCAATACGAGCGATGCATGTAATAAGGAAACTGATAGCAATGAATGTAACTGAAACTTTGTTGACATCACTCATGTAAGTCCAGGCAGAAATGCCCAAATAAATGAAAAGGAAACTTTCAGCGATTTAAGAAAGAGTGCTCACTGTTATGGCTGTGGAGATTCTGCCATATTCCGACATATTGTATCTCATGTAGTGACTCATTAAAATACCAGAAGTCAAAAGGGCAATTACACTTGAAACATCTACTAACTCAGCCAAACAATATGTTCCATATCCTATCAAAAGCAAAAAAATATTCTCCTTAATAGGATCAGAAACCAAAAAACGGAACTTCTTAGTCATCAGTGTGGCAATAATAGCCATTAAAATACCAATTAAAACAGATAGCAAGCAGTTTTTCAAAAAGCTACCAAAAAGCTCCAAGATAATTCCTGAATCTAACTTTACTGAGCCATTAGATCCAACAATTGATTCTACAGACTTTATTAAAATTAATAGAATAAAATTAATTAAAGCCGAAGTAAAAATAGATAAATTAATTATTTATATTTTTATTTTTTTGGTCAATTTACAATTTTAATAAATTGCAAAAAAAGTTCAATTTCATTAAATTCATTGGATAATTTTAATTGATATTTGCTTTTGATAATGATTTTCATAATAATCAATTATTAATTAATTCATACAGATTTATTTATTTTTGTTATTCATTTAATCTTACTAAAGATTATTTAGCTTAATTCAAAAATTTAATATTATTTTAATTTCTTCAAGATCTTCAAAGCGGTAAATTTGCTTTTATTGATGAACTAAATTTTTATTTGCTTATTTCTTAAAATGGACTATTTTAATTCTATTAAGATACTTGCTAATGCTTGTAGTTTTATCAATATGAAATTATTGAATTAGGAAATTAAACAAAATAATTATTTAAAATCTGCTCATTTTATTATTTTTTTGCATCACATTTAAATTATTGCGCGATGAAATAATGATTGACTGATGGGTTGATGGATTTAATAATCAATACCATTTTTTATATTTTTGGGATGTTTAAAAAGGGGGCCTAAATCTAATTTCTTGTTAACAAAGGGGGTTGACTTAAAAAAAAGAAAAGAGTGTTGTTATACTTTGAATAAGATAATGGCTACAGCATCATTAAGCAAACCTTCGCCAAAGACAATACTAAATAGCTTGGGGTAAATTGTACTATTAATGAGAGTTAAAGCTGCAATTGCATCAGATGCACACATAGTGGCACTAAAATATAATAGGTCTTTGTTGTTAAGATCAACCTTTTGATTTTCCAGATCTACAATCATACCAGCTTCTTCGAATCCCTTGGTGATAAAGAGAGTAATAAAAAAGTTGATTAAAGTACCTATTACAGCGAATAAGGTAATGTAGAAGAAATTTTCAAAGAATTTCTTCTTTTTTAGGTTATAACCAGCTGCAAAAATGATTGGAGGCAATATAATCTCAAAGAAGCTCTCTCCTGAGAATGATATTTTATTTGAAAAGAATTTGAAAAAAACACCAATTATCAGACCTATTAGCATACCAAATCCAGTTTCGTGGATCAAGTGTATCTTTTTATGCTCAATAATGGCCTAGAAAGAGACATAAGATATAAGCAAAACAACTACTACCAAGCTGTATCCATAATTATCATCTAGGAAACTCATTCTAACCTACCTATACTTTTACTATTTAATCTAAATGTGTTTATAAATATCTCTATCTATCTAACTCTTTAACTAATTTATTAACTATTTAGTTTATTTATTCCTACTGATTTTTGTTGTAAGTAAATCGATAGATACAAATTAATTTTTCTATTGAATTAATTTCTAATCAAAACTTATCAAATAATAATAATAATTTGTAATTAATTTTTCCTTGTGATTTGGTCATTTGATCATAAACTCCTCATTTTACATATTTCTGCTCTAATATATTAAAAATTAACTCAATTTTGCATTAATATCGACTGTTAAGAAAGTAACTTTAAAATATAGTTCTATTAATAGTAAACCAATTATTTATTTATTTTAATTGTATCCTATAAATTTGTATTTTTGTACCCATTTTACAACCTAAAAACTACTATCTTTAAAAATCTCCATACTCTACTATCTCCTACTCCCTTGATTTATACTTTTAGAAAGAAAAATCTTTGTTTACAGGCTAATTAACGGTGATATACTCTTGTGTTTTATTTGAAAAAGTACTATACAAAAGAAACATACTTTTAGCTAGATATAATTAAATTAAATTTTTTTAATATCAAATTCTGTATCAGAAATCATATCTTTCCTCTCTTAATCTTAATAAGTTGCATCATAATTCATATGTGCCACATAAATGACTCTCATTCATAATTTATAATTTACATTTTTTAATTTCCAATATGTTGCTTATGAAAAAGTAAAAAAAATATAAAGATTTAGCAAGTAATTTAAATAAATAACTCAAAAAAACTAACACAGAAAAGTAAAAATTTCTTTAATTTAATTATCGTGTTATAGTTAGTATCTGTGATATTTAAGAGTAATTCAATTAGATATCACATTTTTAATTATTTTATTTTATTTTGAATTTTAAGTAAAAAAATTGCTAAAAATATACTAAAAATATCTTTAATTAATTTTAGCTTTATTTTAGTGAATAAATAATTAATTATATTAATACTTTAAGCATAATTATTTTTAATAGAATTTGAATTAGTGTTTTGTAAGTAAATATTACTGCCATATGCTTAGCATAGATTTGAAGAAATTACAATTTATTTGTATTATTGTGCTTAATAAAATAATTTTATGTGGATTTTTCTATTTATATTGTTTTGTCTCGCTTACAGATTAAATAAAAACAATTTATAAATGGATATTTTTTCTTTTGATTAAATTTGAAAATTGTCTCTAATTTTTATTAGATATATTTAGCTCTAATAACTTAAAATAAGTAAATAATTATCTGTAATTTAATTTGTATTTATTTGGTGAAACTAAAAAATTAAATAAGAAAAGAATAAATAATTCTAAAAAAAGTACAATTTTAATTATAATTCAAAAAAAATTAATTTCAATTAAATTAAATAAAAGCAATATGCTTAACTTTTTATCTCTAAGGGCTTTACTTTTTTTTCTAATTGAGAATCATATTTTTAAAAAGTTGATTTACTTAAGAAACTTACTCAACAAATAAATATCTATCTATTTTTATTCTGCTATAACAAACACAAAATTCTCTTACTGCTTAAACTCAAATTTAAATTGTTTTCAAATTAAATATTAAAATAAATATGGGGTTATAGAAATTCCAATAACGCCCATAAAAATTAATAATTTGATCCATGCATTACAACTCTCTGAATTGATAAAAAATAAATTAAATTTAATCAAATCAAATTAGTTAGAAATTAATTAATATTCATTAAATTCAAAAGAATTTTAAAAAATGAATGAATGCATTAAAACTTAGTTATTTGTAAAAAATTCCTCATCTCATGATTTTAATTGATATTGATTATTTGTTTGAAAACTAATCAAAATAATATGAATGAATGAATGAATGAATGAATGAATGAATGAATGAATGAATGAATGAATGAATGGATGAATGGATGGATGGATGATAATTGAAAATTAAAAATTTATAAAAAATATTTTACACCTTTTTTGTTTTGTTATAAGAAAAAGTAAAACTTTTATCATCAAAAAATAATAAAAGATTTATTAAAAATTAATATAAGATAAATTATTCAATAAATTTGTCTTAAAAAAATTAATAAAATAATAAATAATTCAATTTATTATAAAAAAAATATAATTTAATTTAATATAAATTAAATAATCAATCAGTATTAAAAATAAAAAAATTGTTTATTTTAAGATATTAAAATTAAAGAGTAAATTAATAACATTCATAAATTTTAATGTAAAAGAAAGTTTAAGAAACTTCATTTTTAAATTAATTGAAAAATATCTTGAAAAAAATCATATTCAAATGAAAACACTAAATATAAAATAAGTAAATTTTAAAATAAATTTTATAAAAATTTTATTGAAGAATATTTTATTTTTTCATAAAAATAGATCATTAAGAGAAAAATAACAGATGAAGAATCATTAAGTATTAACTTAGAGTAATTATCTATCTATCTACCCACTTCAATAAATACTAATTTATCTATAAAATATAATTAAAAGTGAACTTAAAGATGAGTAAATAGATATTCTAGTATCAAAGCTAGCATAATTCATCAACCTAAACTCTTTGGAATTGATTTCAAAGTATCTAAGTTATTTATTTATTTCTTTCTTTCTTTCTTTCAGGACACAAAAATAAAATAAAAAGAAAGGAATTGTGATTGAATATTTATATATTTTTCTTATGAAATAAATTTTTTTAATAGATCAGTTTTTATTTATATAATAAATTGTTTATTTTAATTAATTTTTTTTTTAAGTTATAAAATCAATTTTTTTGAAGAGGGTTTTGAATTATTGTTATTAGTTATTTTGAATAGCACATTCATTGTTTTTACATTATTTTTAATTAATTAATTAAATTACTTAAAATTTAAATAAAGAGTAAAATTAAAAATTCAATCATTATTTTTTCTTCTTAAATAATTATTAATTAATTAATTAATTAATTAATTAAATGTTTATTTTTATTAACATTTAAAAGCATTAAATAAATGATTATACTAGATAAAATATTATAAAAAATGTCATAGATAAAGTAGCTGAGAGTATATTTAGATTCTACGTAACTAATTTACTTAATTTTTACATCGATAATTAATTAAATTTTAATTAGTTATTTATTTCTAAGCTCCTAAGACTATTCTCAAGACAAAATTGAAACCTGCTTTAGAAAATTTTCAAATTTAACTGATTTAGATTTTAATATTAGGTAAAATAATTATAATATATATGTATATCTTATTAATCTCAATCAATAAATTATTGTTCCATAAATTCATTTATTTATTTATTTATTTATTAAATTATTAATTTATTTATTTATAAAAAATAAAGTTTTAGTGAACTTTAACCTCAAAACCTTAAAAATTTATTTGATGATTTGAAATAATGTCATATGTTAGTTAGTTTAAAATTAAACTTGAGGTAATATTTATTTATTTTTATTTTATTTTTACAATCATGTATTAATTAATTAATTGACTCATTTTTAATAAAGAAAATAATTGAGTTTAAATGAACAAAATATACATGACTTAGGTACTTTGATTGGATCTTTAACTAATCTCTAAAGACTCAATGTTAGCTTATGGTAAGATTTCTATATTTTTAATTTATTCAAGCGCTTCTTTCACATCATTAAAATAATTTAGATTCATTTTAATTTGAAATTGTTTAATTTAAATTAAAAAAGGGATAATAACATTTCGCGATAATGTTTTACTCATTTAGCCTAAGGAATTTATCAAGGTGGAATTAATCTTACAAATATAACTTTCAATTTAGAGTAATTAAACAAATATATTTTATTAGCAGATAAATCTATTTATTTATAAAATAATTGTATTTGATAGACAGATAGATAGATTTTATACATATGAATTTGTTTATAATAAAAAATTAGATTCACATTTATAAATGATGATATTTTAGCTGAGTTAGGAATAGCTTTTTCAAAGTGTAGCAACCTTAAATCGCTTTCCATAGACTTAAAGTAATTAATTTTTAACTTGTAGAAAAAGAATTAATTTATCAATTAAAATAGATTTAACTAAATAAAGTCAATTGGTTTGTCATAGTTTGTTCATAGCTTATCAAAATGTCTTAATTTGACTTAATTAGAGCTTGACTTTGGGTAATTAATTAATTAATTAATCTTATCTCAACAACATAAAAATTAGAAAAGAAAGATCTTTATTTCATTTTTAATATTTTTTTTTGAAATATTAATTAAGTTAAGAAGTATATTTTAAATAAATTTTCTAAATATATTTTAACAGTTGGAATAAATTTAGAAATTTAGGTGCTCATCATCTTACTTCTAAATTAAATAGCTTGATCAGCTTAAAATATTTGTATCTCAGCATTATGTAATAATTTAATAATAATTTTTTTAATTTATCTTCATATTTTTTTGCAGGTCTTGTGAAATTGATAATAAAGGAATGCTTGAAATTAGTAATAGATTGAGGGAATGCACTCAGTTAAATTTGATCAAAATTTGTATACTGTAATTTTATAAATGTAATTTTAAATTGTATAGAATATTATTCTTTAAAATAAATAGTGGAAATGGGGACTTTGCAATTAAGAAAGAAGCCAAAGATTTTTACAATAAACTCAAGCATATTCCTTATTTAATTTCGATTTTATGAACTATGAATCAAAATTTATAATAAATGAGAACAAATAATTCATACATTTGCAATGTATTTTAAATAATACATGTATGTGATTGATTGTAAATTCTACTTAAAAAATAATAATTGTAATTTATTTTTATCATTGTAAAAATTATAAATCAATCAATCAATCAATAAATATCCTAAAAATTAATAAATTGTTTAATTAAATATGCTTGATACTTTTTTTGTTCATTATTATTTATGCTATTTATTTTGTTTCTTCAAATTAAATTTTCATTTTTGAATTTTTGAAAATTAATTTATTAAATTAATTTTTTCATTTTTAATAATTTTATATTTTTATTTGATAGAGATAAACAAACCTTTATTTCTAATAAAATATAAAATAAATTTTGATTTGATAGAGATAAATAAACCTTTATTTCTAATAATATGCAAAATAAATTTTTATTTCTTATTTTATTAAAATTTTTTGAAAAGGCTAAAAATAAAATAGAAATTAATCAAATAAAAATAATATTTTAAACAAAAGCACTAAATTTAAAAAAGAGGTCATTCTTGTTCATTCATTAGTCAGTTAATTGAATTAATCAAAAAATCTTAAATTTTAAATAGATAAACAATAAGAATAATATATGGATTTATAAATAAGAAAAATATTAAAGAGATATATAAAATAACAATTTAATTTTTTTTTTAATTTATTGAACTCTTTTACCAAATAAATACCAGTAATAAATATTTTATAAATTATTTATTTACATTACTGTTATTTTAAATAATTAACTTGAGATAATTTTTTAATTTTCAGTTATTTGTGGTGGTTTCTAATACTTAGAAATTAAATATTTGATTTGATTGCTACTGTATATCTAATTTTTATGCTTGTTTATTTTTAAATTTCTTAAAAAGAATAAACAAAAAATAGAAATTTTATTAGAATTAGTAAAATATTATTTAAGAAATAACATGAATCTAATTTAGTTGTTCGTTTTACTACTATTTGAGGAACACAGAGTTCTTGATTAAAAAATAGATAGGTAGGATGGATATATATATATTTATATCTTATATTTAAAATTCTTTATTTAAAAATCTTAATTATTTTGATTTTTGCTATGGTATTTAATTTAAATCTTAACAATTTTTTTAAGAAAACTGATATCAAATAAATAAATAATCAAAAATTAAATTAATATATTAAAAAGGTATTATACTTTGAAAGTAAGTAATTAATTAAATTTACATTCTAAGACAAGATTAATTTTTATAGGAAATGAACTAGCTATCAAATTAATTAAGTGAATAAGATGAAAGTAGTTAAGCATCGAATACTTCGATTGAGAATCAAAACATAATAAATATAAGTCAAAACTCGGATAGAGAAGAAATAAATATAGAAGATTAATGCTTTAATTCGATCAATTTTTAAGTTAGAAAAGGCCAAAAGGATTCATCTATTGATTTAGAAAGCATTTAAAATGAAGATACTGATTAGTAGAAGCTTATAGAAATTTTATAAAATTAGTAATATTTTGAATTGAACAAATAAAATTTAAAGTAATAGCTCTATAGTGTCAATTGCTTTATCCCTGAAGATGAGCTCGAGAATGATTTCAGTAGTAGTGAGAAATTAGAGTAGGACATTAAGAAGTAGAATAAAAGCATCATCTCTGAATTAACTTAAATAAGCTTAAACGAAGTTGCTCAAGGAAACTCTAAAAATACAGATATTCACGATGATGATAAAAAAAATTAAGAGGGAGATTAAAGTTAAAATTAATAAAATGCAGAGGTTCAGAAAGAAATAGAATGCTATTAGCTAAGCGAAGAATAAGTATAGAAGTAGGATCTATTAAATGAAATCAAATATTTATTAGATAACAATGATTATGCAGGCAATAAATAATAAATAGAAAAGATGACTAGGTTATTAGTAGAAATTCCATACTTTTAACAGATTTTAACTAGCGATGGATATAAAAAGGAAGAAATTTTAAGTGTTTGCTAAATATTGCAAGGTTAAAATGTGTAGTAAAATAATTTTTTATTTCATATTAATGATCCATCAGACTATCTCTACATCTTGTTAGATGGATATATGGCTGTTTACGTGCCAAAAAGTGATCATGATGTTTAATAAGAAATTGATATTAATTATAACATTGTATTAAATGAGAAGCTACTCAATAAAATGTAAGCTACAAACCACATGCATCAAGCAAAGCAAGAAGCAAAGAATAAATTAGAAATGCTTTATAAATAAAGATAATTATATTTTAACAAAAATCATGAAGATTTTTTGAAATAATCTTCAAATAACTCTCAAAAATATTTCAATTAAGAGTAGTAAAAATGCAGATTTAGAAGAGCAAGAGTATTAAAACCAGGAGATGTGTTTGGTCACACTGCATTAGCAATAAAAAAAAACAGAACTGCCTCAGTAATAGCTATGAATAATTGTGTTTTAGCTAAAATACACGTAATATTTTAAAATATTTTATTTTTAATTAATTATTTGAGAATTTTAAAAAATAAGCTTTCAAATAAAATCAATTTTATTTTAATAGCTTTTTAGAAATATTAAATATTCGCCTATTCAATTTTAGATTCTTCCATTTTTTTTACTCTTTCCTTCAATTTAATTAGTACTACTGAACTCAAATAATAAATACACCATAAATTGTTAAATTTTAGATCATTTGAATCTCACAAATAGTTATTAATATTTTTTTAATAAGAAAAAATTTGGAATAAATAAAAAAATTTTAAAAACCCATTTAAAAGATATTTAATTAAGGTACTATAAGAAAGAATTCAAAGCACTATTTATTACATTTTTAAATAACTAATTAGTACATTAATTTAATAAAATAGGGATCTTTATATAGCAAATACTTTAAGAGAGAATATGAGAAAAGAGAGTTTTTACTTAAATGCATGAGGTTATTTCTTTAGTTTCCTTAAAAAAATGTAGACAGAATTGAGAGCTCTCCATTTTTATTTAAGGAAGTGTCATTTAAGAGGAATGAAATAATCTACAAAAGAAATGATGATAAAGCATCTAAATTTTATTTTGTGTATAAAGGAGGTGTTGAAATGATTAAGTAAGTTACAGGGTATGATATTCTTAACTTTTCAAATAGACTTGAGAAATAGATGTAAAATAAAGTTAGGAAATACACTTAAACTAAGGACTTATGTGTTTTGAATATTAATCCAGGAGATTTTTTTGGTCATGAAGATATTTTTGATCAATAAAAAAGATAATTAACTGCTCAGAGCTCATCTAGTGAAACCATATTATTTGAAATTGAACTCTAACTACTTAATGAGCTAGATTCTCCTCTCATTTTACAAAATGTTAAATAACTAGGTAATTTATTTGTTTACATAAATAATATATAATATCTGTAAATATGCTATTTAAAATATTTATTTTTAATGGAATATTTTATATTTTTTTGATAAAAATAAATTATTAAATTTAGGAAAAGGAATTCATATTTTTTTTAATAAAACAATTTAGAATATTTTTGATGTTTAAATGTTTATTAAACAAATATTTAATAGGAGAATAAAGAAAATAGAGATGCTTAGAGAAATTGTAGGAAATACAGTCTTTTAAATAGGAAAACTTGCGTTAAAAGCCTGTTTAATCATAATTGCCTTAAGATGTGCAAAGAATAATTAAGGAGTAAATTGTTTAGAAATCATTAAATTACTAGCTCAAAATAGAGTAAGATAAACGCACTTAACTAGAAAACTAAGAACACCTTCAATTAAAAGATTAAAAACTAAGTTTAGAAATAGATCCAAGCAAAAATAAAAGAATGATTTTAGGTGATGATTCAGACTATCAAAGAGCTAAACAAAAAATCTAAAAAATGCTAGAAGGTCAATTAGGAAAACAAGAATAAGCTGAAACTTATTATCAGAAAATTTCTAGACCAATGCAAATTAACAATTTTGAAAATTGCTTAAATTACATTTAGACAGTGCCTTCTTTTTCAAAATTAAAGTAATTTTTTTTCAAAATATTCTATATAATTAATTTTGCAATATTCTTTACTCAAAATTAATAAAAGGTCAAATCAATTTTTGCCTTCTCTCAAAGAAAGCATTCACATTTTTGAAGAAGAAAAGCTTAAAAAGAAAATTTAACAATCGTAAATGGTAAGATTATTAAAACTTAAATAAATTCAAATTTATTCAACTAAATAAAATATTTAAACCAATAATAATAATTTTTTTATTTTTAGCACACTAATAAATTTTTAGTATTTGATTGATATTAAATTACATTAATAATTTGCTATAATCTTTTCAATATCATGACAATCAATTATTAATATCTTGTCAATAGAGTATATTAATTCTCTTTATAAATATTCTTATGATTTGTTTAAAATTAAATGAAAGCGAATTATTTTTACTATTTGTCTAAAAATTCAAATTATCTCAAAATAAATGAATATTTTCTCTAATCAAAATAATGATGATTCAGAAATATTAATAAGTTCTACTATGCATCAATATTTATTAGATAATGTAGATAGCATGAATTAAATTAAATAAATTTTAGTTATTAAATATGAAAAGAATTAATTTTTTTTAGTTTTTATTTTCTTTTTCTTAAGAAATAATTTTAAATTATATTTTTTTGTTTTGATTAACATTATTGAAATTAGAATAAGCTATCAGATTTTATAAAATTAAATTAATAATTAATTAATTAGACTAGAAAAATGAGTATTGAAGATCATAGTTAATCAAAGAGCATAAAATTTAGATGCAATAGTAGTAATCTCATTCCTAGTAATAACCATGCTGAATAAGATCAGTTAGGGTTAAATCCTAATTCTTATGATTAATCATAAATATCTTCATTTCATAACAAAGCTAAAAATGGAGAAATAAATTATAAAGTACTTACTCCTTTGCACATAAAATCATCATATTAGTTAAATTTAGAAGCTGAATTAATCGACTAATCCAAAAAAAAAGCAGCAAATATTGAATATTCCACTCCAAAAAGTTTATTTTCTAATTAAAATTTATCTCCGAAACTGAATTTACAAGATGAAGCCCAAGAAAAATTGGTTATTCGTAGCAGTTTCAATTTTTAAACAGAAAGAGTTCAAGAATAGCAAGATTCTAATTAACAGGTAAACTAAAACTTAACCGGTAGATAAAGATAAAGTTCTTTATACATAATGAATTAATAAGTCCAGAAAGTTAAAAAAAATAGATTGATCGATAGATAGTTATTTAATAAAGAAAGTGATGATAATATCTTAAAAAGCTAGTAAAGTAGAAAAGAGCAAAATCTTTTTTAGAATTCAAAGATTAGAGCACAATCTTTATATGAAAAAAAATAGAGCTCGATATAAATTGAAAAGTAAGATAATATTTATAGAGAATCTAAATCATTTCACTAAAAAGAAATATCTTCTAATAACAGAAATTAATCTTTTTAGAATAATTTTTATTAAAAAGGATGTTTTTCTAGTTAGCAAAGTTAAAACTAGAATGTTTTATAAGAAATTTAAAATGATAAAACTGATTGTAAAAATTCAAAAGAAAATAAATCTGACTTTAATAAATAGCACTTACTCAACATGCTGAAAATAAAAATTGATAACAAAGATAACGATGAATCTAACCCTCTTATAATTAAGTAATATAATCTACCTGCAAATACTGTTAATTCAAATAAACTGATTAAAAGCCATTCAACAGATAAAAAAAGAGAAAGTGAAAATCTTATTTAAAAAAAACTAGACTAACTACATGCTTTGCTCTCGCCTTTATCTAAAAAAAGTATCACTAAAGTTATTAATAAAGTATCTCAAAAGAAAAACAAAAGCTAGTTAATGTAAGAATAAATAAATATGGGAACTTCTACTTAAGATATTTTTAAGTATAATAGTCCAATAATCCTAAGTCCCATTTATAATGTTCAAGCTAGTACAGCAAAAAACGCTAATAGTAATAACAACAATAATGCTAATAAAAAATTCTTCGCAGAAGATAGTTTCACTATTCAATCCTATAAATCATTGAATTCAAATAAAGAAATAAAGTCTAAAATACTAAAACTTTCAGAAGCTGATGAAAGAGTTTTGTAAATAAGTGCTTAGTTGAGAACAGCTTCTTCTTCGTAAAGTATCGAAAATTATTTAGAACCTAAAATAAAAAACCATAAGATAGCTTCTTTCTAAAAGGCCTCTGAATCTATAAAGAGATTTATCATATCTCCTCAAAGAACTTCTTTAGAAAACTAAAAAAACAATAAAAAATTTACTTTTAAAATAACAAACCAAGAAGAAGAGGAAGAATTCTATCAAACCAATAAAAAATATGTTTAAAGTTTAATTTTTCCCGATTTAAAATTTCCAGTCTACAAAAATCAAAGCTGAGCTTAATAAAAATTTTAAGTAAAAAAAACATAATTAGTTAATATATATGGATGGATGAATCTTTGTAAAAGTGCTCTCCAAAAAAAAACTCTTTTGAATTAAAAAATTTATATCAAAACTAATTTATGTTGCTTTTCTTTTGAAAAAATATTTAGTTCTGATTATTATTCAGTGAATGGTTTGGTTTAACTGAAAGACAAAACAATTTTTTTTAAAGTCTAATTAGAAAAAAAAATAGAAATATATTTAAAAAAATTGTCAAATTAATTAAAAAAAAGATAATTTTCAAAAATTATAAAATTAATATATTTATGTTTTTTAACAATTTTTTTGAAAAGTAATTTTAACCTATTTAGAAACTTTTTTTTAGTTTTTTTAAAAAATTTTATATTAAAAAGTGTTTATTAAAAATCAAATAAATATGTATTTGCATTGCAAATAAAAAATTAAATATCATAAAAGAAATATTTAATTGTTTGTTTACTGAGAACAAACGAATAATTTTTACTAAGTAAATCATATCATAAAAGGACAATCTATCTAAAATTTGTTTAATAATATTTAATAAATTAAAAAAATACTATTATCTTTATTTCTTCCATCTATTCTTTTAATGATTTTTGTAAAATTTAAAACTTTTTTAAGTAGAAGCTTTACTTACTAATTAATATTTTTAAAATAATATATTTTTTGTTTAAAATAAATAAATTATTGATTTAAAATAAATCCATACAAACCTTTAAAAGCTAATGCTGATTTTATTATTAATTTGTTATTTATTTCTTTAAAATTCTTTCTAATGGTTGGTGGTGATTGTTTATTATTTAAGAATATTCTGTTTATTTATTTATTTAAGATTATTAATCTAGACAAATTATCTTTCTACAATAATATAGAATAGATTAACTATTTAATCAGATTTTATTTGTTTTCTCTCTATATATATTTAGGATTTCAACTATATTTGATAACCTTTTGCTAAGTAGAATTTAAGATATTATCTGCTATAAAAAACAAAGCATAAAACACAGCAAAAAAAATAAAAAATGAGTTCAAAAAGTAGTCAGAATAAACTAGAGTAAATCACTAATATAGTTTGTCCAGTCCATGAAAACAAGTTTTTGGAGCTAATAAACATTGATCCTCTGTGCAAACAGAAGCTCTTTTGCTATGAATGTGTTTTCGAGCAGTAGTATCCAAGTTAGAATGTTTTATAAATTAAGGAGGTTTTTAACAGCTCTAATTACTAGTTCATAAATAAATGGCTTAGGTTTGAGAATCCTTAGAACAAAGAGCTATTCAGTATCATATTCAGTACCAATCATGAAAGTGCCATTTCTCACTTCTTCTAAGAAACTTTAATTAATTTCAAAAAGGAGATTAATTAATATATAGATAATTAAATAGTCAAGATGGCTGCCAGTTTGAAAAAGCTTGAAGATTAAAACAAAAATCTAAAAGCCCTCTATTTATAGCACTAATTTTAATCTGATTTGAAAGAGTGTCTCACTAAGAGCGAAAAAGACAGAAATAAATTGGAGGAAGAGATAACAGGTCTAATTTCAAAGTTTTAGTCAGAGAATAAAAAGTTTGAAGAGGAAGTCTTTAAGTATGCTTAAGCTTACCAAAGTGAGATAAATAGCTAATAAGATATTGTAATGTCCTTTCCAAAAAATCTCTAGAAATTTGTTGAAAGCTCTGAGTAGTTTAAATATAGCATTCCTCAAGAGATGAAAGACAAGTTTGATGATTTAAAAATAATTCTAGGTTCTCAAAAGATTTCTTTGGAAATGATTAAAAAATCTGAGTATTAAGTTTGCAATGGTGACTTATCTGTTGAGTTGAATAAGTAAAACGAACTAGAAATGATAAATTTGAAAGACCAAAATTGCTAATATTACTTGGACTTAAATCTACTTAAAGATGAAAGGTATGAAATTTTGCTTGAGACTTATAGAGCTAAACCTGAGCACACAGTATATATTGGAATATGTCCTTTGTCAATTATAAATACTGTATATACTTGTAACTACAGCAGTCATATTCCATTGGTTTACAATTCTTCATCAATGAATTTAAAGGTGGATAGAGGAATATAGATCAATAATGACTATCAATGTAATCATCAAATTAAATTGCAAGTTTGCTTGAATGAAAAAGTCTGTAGGTGGAAATTTGGCGATAATATTAACTCCATCAAAGATTGGAGTTCTATAAAATTAAATGAACCTCATTTCTTAGCAATTCAAATGTATTACTCAAATTCTTAAATCTTCATTAAATAGATTAAAAAAGTATATCAATTCGAGCTTTGGTGATTCTAATAATATCATAAATTTATCTATACCAATTTCATGTGTTTTTGTTTTACGATTTTTTTAGAGATTAGTTTAAAATAATTTTTTTGTTTTTTTATTATAATTTTCCATTTTAAAAATTAAATTAATTTTTTTAAATTCAATATGAAATTATTATTTTGAAACATAAATATTTTAATTTGAAAGTTTTGAGTAATTTATTGGCAAAACACTTTTCTAGGTTACATACATATTTACAAACTTTCAAAAATAATGTTTCTTATTTTAATAATGGAGATAGGAAGGAAGGTGACCATTAATAAAATATTTTATTACATTTTCCATTCAAAAATTAATGGATGGTTGTTTTGAGATTGATCTCTTTCTCCAATTATAATTTTAAATATTAAGTAATGTTTAAAATAAATAACTTCAAGAATATTAATTATGAAAAATTAATTAGTGTTACATGTTTAGCGCATTGCCATTTAAGAATACCCTTCATAAAAATTAAAATAAATAAATAAATATTATTCCTTAAATTTGTTTGGAATATTAGTTTACTCATAAAATAAATAAAAAAATCTAAATCTTCTAGCTAATAAATCATGATTAATAATAAAAAATGTATTACATTTTTATTAATTCTACACATTTAATATATGAATTAATTATTTCTAAAATTTAAAAATAAGCCAAAAAATTTAATGGCAACAAAATGCAAGAATTCAGATTAAAATATGATAATAATAAAAATGAAAGGTAAATAAATAAACAATTATTTCAAACAAAAATTAAAAATTATGGATATTAATCGAGTTAAGCAAAAATTTAAATTAATTATATTAATTAATATAAAATAACAGAAAAACAGTACAAATTTAAGTTAGTTGCGGTGTGTTGTGTTGTGTTGTGTTGTGTTTTGTTTTGTTTATTATAAAACATTCTTCTGATAAAGCATATAATATATTTATGTTTTATATATGATTAATATCAAAGTTTGAGTGAATTTGTGTTATTTGTTAATGTTTATTTTTAAAAGGATCATATTTATTTTTGTGATATGTAAAAATTTATGGAAAAATATCAAAGAAATAGTTTAAAAATGAATGAAATTTTTATTTTTAAATTATTTAGTTTTTATTAATAATAAAGTGAACTTTTCATTGTTAGTTCTTTTATTTTTTGCTTTTACTATAATTAATTATATATTACATGCACGCAGAAATAGGCTTCCAGTTATTGATTTATTTGTTTACTCCTAAATTAGATTGGATTAATACTTTTACTATAAATTAATTAATGTTAAAAAACAAAGTAGAATCAAAAATTACTAATTGATATTGTTTGATTGATTGATATGGTTTTTGAAAATTTAGACTTTTTGTCATCGCCTTTTTAGTTTAATATAGGCAATTAGTAGCAAAGAAAAAGAACCAAAATAGGAGGATTGCTCTCAACTGCCATATTTTTAGCTACGGTAGCCTATTTCATTTATAATCTAATTTTATATTTCTCTAATTCAATTGATCCTAAATTTATTGCTTAGAGTTTTGTTACTAATAATGAAATCAGTGTAGACCTGCATAACGATTTAGTTGGATTTAGGTTTGAGCATAAAGTTAATTAAGGTATTGATGTACTAGAAAAAGAATAAAATAAAACCTATTTAGTATACTTGCCATTTTTTGAGTATATAGGAAACACTAGTGTTAATCTGATTCAATTAAACATCACTGATTGTACAAATCCTCAATTGTAGGGATTTAAGTGCTTAGATTTTACACAGTTATAGAACTACACCTTGACGTTGAACTCTTTATCTAACATTCTTTCAAGAATTGATATTCTATTGTATAGATGCCAAGACACAGACTCTGCAAAGACAACCATTCCTGATAATTGTGCTAGTCCAGAAGAAATAGATTAAGTTATTAATAATCTAAGTGGGAATTTCCATTTAAAATTATTTACTTCTTAGTTCAATACAAGCTCATAAATGGTTCAAACTAACTTCAGAAAGATTAATATAAACACTTATTCAGGTTAATTTATTTACAGTAAATTGAAAACACAATAATAAAAAACAAAAATACAGCAAGGATCGCTAATTCAACAAGAATCTACGTTTACTTCTCCTTTAAATTATGAACTTGTAACTTAAGTGTTTGATTATTAAACCTTTAAAAATATGACAGATTCAGCCAATATTTTGCAAGCTTCTATCTAAATGGATGAAATAGTTACTTATTTTCAAATTCAATTTCATACATTTCCTGAAATATTAGCTGTTTGCAATAGTACCTTAGCCCTTCTTATGCTGATTGGAGTTGTAGCAAAATATTTTGCATAGAAACTGATTAAAGAAGACTTTTTTCTTCTTTATTTACAGAATTTTCATTAAGGTACATATGAAAATATATTAAAAATAAATAAATTACTATGTAAAGACTAAGATTCTGGAAAGGACTCTCCAACATGCAATTAGATACAAACAAAAGGCAAAGAATTAGAAGAAGTAGATATAGAAGAAATACCTGAGCAACAATAATAAATGCAAGAAACTGACAACGCCTAATCTATCCTTGTTCCTTGCTTTCAAAGCACTTTTATTGACAATTTTCAGTCAGCTACAAAAAGCACTAAGCTGAGAAACGATTTAAATAGCTTTTATGATGCAACTAAAGAAGTTCATTGGTAAGGTACTGAACAACTCAAGATTAAAAAGAGTTATTCAAATAAAACACAAAGGACAAGTCTCGTTTAAAAAGGAAATCTTTGTAAAAAATAAGATTAAAATAGTTAAATTACTAATTTATCTAATTTAAAAGATGACTCTCCAAATCTCAGCCTGCCATTTGCTAAAATAAATTAACAAAAAAAGAATAATTCGTTGACTTATCAAAATCAAAAATAAATAAATAGTTCACCTCTTAGTATTAAAAAAGAATAATCTACCTATGACTTTGTCTTGAAAAATAGTATTGCAGAATAACAAACTATCAAATATAATTCTTTTTTTAATAAGCACTTACTTACAAAAATACAAAAAATCATTTTTGGCTTTAAGTAATATTTTATTTATTTATTTATTTATTTATTCTTCATTATCAAATTAAATAAATAAATAACCTCCTAAAATAATTTTAGCTTTTTAAAATATTTTTTTTAAATTAAATAATTTGTGGGGATATTGAATAGTAATCATACATATCATCTATTTCTTAATTAATTTTGATTTGTATAATAAATATTGAAATAAATTTTAATCTATTAATAATAAATATAAATAGGATTTGGAAATATCAAAATCACTTATAATCTATTGGATTAAATGTTTAGGAAAAAAGATAAATAGAAGAGTAAGTAAACTAGAGTGTGGATATCTTGTAGCTCTATTAAGATATAATATTTTTAAAGAAAGCGATCATGATTTTATTTACTAGTGATTAACTAGCGACCCTTAAAATAACTGGATTCTCACCAAATTGTTCTTCTTCCAAGAATTCTACATTAAGTTTTAATTTCAGTAATTTAATTAATATAAATAAAATTTTATTAAGCAAAATAAATATTTTAATATTTTTTTGTTGTTATAAAGCAAAAGGAAATATAAATGGACTAAATTACTTAGAGAGTTAATACTTTATGTAAAAATCCAAGGAATAAGAACTAAATCAAATCAACAAATTCATAATCAGATGTTAAGATAAAAGTAGTATGAGTGAAATAGATTAAAGAATATATTCATCTTTAAATCTAGTTTGAGCTAATTTTTATCCTTCTTCTTATAAACAAATTAATTAATAATATATGTATATATTTATTATCTTTTTGTTTGTAAAATTCAATTAGAAAATTTAAAGTTTTAATAAATATAATTTTTTCTAAATAATACAATTAATTAAGTTAATATCTAACTAAATATTTATTTTCTAATTATTTCTAATAGAGAATGGATGTATGTATTGATTTTTTATTAAAAATAAATAAAAAAACAATTTATTCATTTAGGTAAAAAAAAAATAGTTTAATCAAAATATCTCTAAAATAAAATAGAAAATTTAATATTGTGAATAATTTGTTTTTTTTTATTTTTTTAAAAAGTCCCCTCCTCAAATTATCTAATCATCTTTTTTCAGCAATTAAATTTAAAAAAAAATATAAATAATAGTATTTGATTTCATATATTAATTAATATACATCAATTAATTTATCTTATAATTGCTTTTTAAGTTTATTTTTATATGTTTGTTAATAATGATATAAGATAATGTTATCTTTTTTATAAAATTGAATTTATTTAAGGATAAATTATTTATTTATAATAAATAACTCTTATATTCTTTATTTTAAAATATAATGCTGTTTGTTTTTCTAATTCAATACATATAGATTCTAAATGAGGTTTTGATTTTCTTCTTTCTATCTATCTGAAAATCTGAGCCACTTAAAATATACTTATAGCCACTCTTTCTCAATGTAATTTATTATAATAACCTTACAATTAATTGATCTATATCTAAATATTGATTTCTAAAATTGTGTAATTTTTCTTTTTGATTTTTCTTAAAAAGCCCCCAAGTAATTTAATTTAATCATCTTTATTTCCACAATTAGATTATTTTTTTTATAATAAAAATATTAATACGAGAAATTAATATCTATCGATTGATTTATCTAATAATTGCTCTCTACGTCTATTATTAATTATTATAGAATACGTATTTTACTTTTATATGCTGTCATTTCATATCTTTATATTAAATTTCTTGCATAAAAAGGCAATAGATTTTTGGTTTAAAAAAAACCACTTTTTTCATATCGGATATAATATTTATTAATTAATTAAATAGCAAGCTAAAATAGCAAATATCAATAAAAATGTAGAATATTGACTATCAGACATAAGGAATACAAGACTTAGAAAAAATATAAGGTGAATTCTTAGATAGAATACTAGAAGCACTCTAATTAGAAAAACAAGACATTTCAATGTAGCTCTTGGAAATTTTAAATTAAGCCTGTATTTCGTTAGAATCAATTTAAGATAAGTTTAATGAAATTCTAGAAGAAAAGTAATTAAATCTGATTGTATCAATAGCTAATGAATATCATTTGAGATATTTAGCTCAAAGATAAAAAATTGAACGAAATTTGAATGAATCTATTAATTACTCAACTACTTCAAATACTTGTGTAAAAAATAAGTAAATAATCTATGAAAAACACTAAAAAATTCATAATGAAGACTTTGATAAAGTATCTTAAATAATTAAGCCAAATTTGGAAACAGCCAATTATTTTCATCTGGATTAGTCTCTAAATTACTTAGCTACAAAAGTAGATAATTCAAATTAAAGTGAATCAGAATTATAGGATATTTTTGAAAATGTTCACCTTAAAACAAATCAGACTAACTAAATGTTAAAGACCTAAGAAGAGCTTATGGTAGATTAGAAGGAAAACAAAGAGTAAATAGTACTTTAAAAATAAAAAAATACTTAAATGCAGGAGGGAAAAAGTACAAAAATAGTTACAGATGTTGAAATTAATAATAAAGAAACTTCTGTTTAAAATAATTAGATATGTGCAATTTAAACAAAAATTTAAGAACTCTAAAATTAAATAAACCTACTTATCAATTAATTCTAAGAGTATGTTGTGAAATAGCTTAATGATTAATGTAAATAGATCAATATGGATGATGTAAACTTATTAGTTGGAAAATTATCTTTAGATAATAATTTGTAAAATGAATCAGAGCACATAGAAAAGATTATTTAAAGTTTTGATCTAGCAAGAAAACAAGAAAAAAGCATTAAAGCTGAAATGAAAAAGTTTAGTGATGAAATAATGAAAATAAAAGAGGCTATTAATGAGTAGGTGGTCAAGATTTAGGAACTTAAAGTACTTTCAGAGAAATAATTAATTAGCAAGAAGGAGATGCTCATCAATGAATTAATTGAATAAATTAGCTAAATAACTTAAAAAGACTGGACATAAACAAATAAAGATATACTTACAGAGCTAATTAATTACATTTAAATTAGTATTGGAAAAAATTAATAAATATCTGAAGAAAAGATCCTCAATATTATTGAAAATGCAGAACTTAGCAGGTCAAAAGAAAATCAGGTTTAGCTTCATATAAATAATTTTATCAGTGAATACAAGTAAATATTTTCAAGTTAAGGAGATGATGCTTAGTTATAAACTGAAACAGATCTTTATGAAAACTTTATCAAAAATTTGATTCTTTAAATTAATGAAATATGCTAATTAGATTGGAATTAAGTCCATAAAGAAATTCTAGAAAAGCTAAATTCTTATTGCAAAGATATAATAAAATAAAATAAAAAAATAGATGAAGAAACAGTTCTTAGCATAATTAAGTAAGCAGAAGTAAGCAAAAATAATGAAAAAAAAATAATTAATGCAATAAATCTTCTTTCTTTAGAATATTAAAAGTTAATAAAAACTGATGAAAGCAATATTCAATAATAAATAGCCTAAAAGAAATATCTTATAGATGATTTTATTAAAAATGTTAATGAAATATCGTAACTAGATTGGGTTAAGAATCATCATACTACTCTTAATAAGCTACTTTGTTATTTAAAAGAAACGGCTAAACTAGATACATAATTAAACGAATAAAAGATATTATCATTTATAGAAAATTTAGAACTTAGTGGAATAAAAGAAAGGAAAATTATAAGCTAAGCTAAGAGCTTTTTAACTCAATATAAGGTTTTACTTGAAGATATTAAAATATTAAATAAAGAGTAGAATTAATAAAAAGAAGTAATTTAAATAAATGAGAGAATTTATAAAAAAGATTAAAGTTTAAGTAAAATCTACACTTTAGTATATCAGCAAAAAGACTATTGCCTTGATACAATGAGCCTAAAAGTTATATGTGACTTTTAAAATGTTTAGGAATTAATTAATTAACTAAAATAAAATGAAGTAAAAACTATTGGGTTATATGGAGATTTTAAGCTTGCAATTAAAATAATTTAATCATATTACCCTAGTTCTCCATAGTTGATTGACTTAGACCAATATATATCTCAAGATTATGATAAACTAGTGGCTGTTACAGATGGGTAGTTAGTATTTTTAATTTTATAAGAATAAAAAAATGCTTTTGAAGGAGATGTATTTGATAATGAAGAAAGCTAATTATACATACGTTTCCTCTTAGATAGTTGCTCTATACTGATTACATGCTTGAATCAAAAGTAAGTTTCTTTGTGGAGTGATAATAATCCATTTGGGCAATTCTAGTGTTTTGTTCCTCCGAAGCAATACAAGGATAGATCTTCTATTTTTTTGAAGTAAATTAAAATAAATTCTAATTTTAAAGAGTAAGGTTAGGTTTTATTATCTAATGATTAAAATAATTCTATGGTCATTCATGAATTATAATTTGATAATATTTTAGATTTTAACAATGTAGAAACACACAAAAAATAAATCTAAAAAAATAAGGAATTTATAAATGAACTATTCAATATAAATAATCTTTACAAATTTGTTGATATTGATAAAATTAAAGAGAAAAAAAATATTATTTAAAATATTTTTATTAAACATACACAATCATTTAAATAAATTGAATAAATATATGAAACATTTATTAATCAGATTTAAAATTAGTAGAATCTTCTTTAAGAAAAAAAAATATTGAATGACATATTATTATTTGAAAACAATTAAAGTGAAGGTCTTTTATAAAATTAATAAGCTGGTGCTTATTCTTAAAGATAGAATTTAGGTTAGCGTTTTTGTACCTAATTTTAAAATTGGGATTTCTAATATAATTCATATAATTTTAATTAAAATTTTTAATATTTTAAAAATCTACAATGTAATTGCTAAGGTAAAGTTTACTGTAAAGATTGCTTAAATTGTAAAATAGTGATTGATAAAATCCACAAAAAAGTTCAAAAAGCGATAAATTAGTTTTATTAATACTCATATTAATAATTAAGTAGTAAAAAATTAAAAGAGATAATTAATAAAATCAATTAAGAGTCATAATAAAAGAATAAACAAATTAAATTTTCCAACTTCTCAACATATATAAGATAGTTTTATAAATATTTTAAATATACTTAAGATGAAATTCTAAATTACTTACTTGCTAAATTCGAACATTTTTCATTTAAAAAATAAATTGTTGAATTCTTATTAGATGATATTTTTAATATTACCTTATAATTAATATCTAATATAATTGATATGAGAGAATTAATAAATTAATTTATGATTTATACAAAAGAAGACTTTTTAAATTAAATTGACTAAATATTTGATTAATTTACACAATTTAAAGAAAAAAGAATATTCATTTATCCTTTACAATTTACTTATGACCCTTCAAAAAAAGAAGTTTATTTAAGCATCAATTACAAAATTTAAAAAATAGTTTTGAATGATTAAGCACACTAATTAATTGATTACATATCATTTGATGAATAAGTAGATTATCTTATATTTAATAATAAATAAGAACCTGATAAGTCAAAGCATAGAACCTATATTTGCATTTAAACAAAGAAAAAAAATTATAATGGCATTTAATATGCATTTTAGGTTTCAGGTAGTACAGACATTTCTATATTTATAAATTAATATTCTAGATAGTGGATTATTTTTGCAAACGATACTAAAAAGAACTCTTTAGGAAAAATTAAGTCAGATTATACTTTTGAAGAAGGAAGATTGGATAAAAATATATATTATTAACAAACATAATATGGAAATACTATAGAAAGAGTTGATTCTTGCATTATTCTTAATGAAAAAAATAACGTAATAATTCTATATGAAAAAAAGAAGAAATAATTCTATGAATTTTTTATAAGTGGCGAACTAAAAGAAATTAGATTTGAGTTATCTAGAGAAATATCAAATGATGGAGTTATAGCGATTTAAAATATACAACATGAAGAGTCTGGTGATATTCAATCAATTAAAAATACATTTGAAGGAGACTTTTACTTTTTTTAAACAGAAAAGTGTATATATTTAACAAATCATAACTATATTGTTAAGCATTAAATTCCTCTGAAAGAAAATCTTTTAAATTTTAAACTTATCATAATTGAAAACGCGAGTTTATTGGTCACTCTTTATGAAAATAATGAATATGAGTGTTATTTAATTTAAGGTATTGAAGATTTAGACGATTCTGATAATAACAGCAATTTAAGTGTTGTTAAAGCTAAAATTGGCAATATAGTAATTGATAAAATTATATAATCAATGGTTTATTATGGAAACAATTATAAATTAATTGGATGCCCAAATCAAGTTGATTAGTTATTTTTTTATGAAAATAGTTTAGATAATCACATTCAGAATTTCGGAAAATAAATAGAGGAGTATTTCAATAAGTGTATGTTGCAAAAATATATATAATTTAAGATAACTAATAGTGAAAAAAATTGCTTTAATAATATAGATCTTTTGATAAACAAGCTAGACTCTATGATATAGAATACTGATTCTATTAAATGCTAAGATTTATAATTTATTATGTAAACAAGAATTCCTATATAGATTACTACTATTTAGTAAGCTAATTACTTGCCTTTAAAGGATGGTTTATTTAAATAAGATTTAATGAATATCCCAGAAGTAGAAGATTAAATTGAATAAATCAAAAAGTAAATATCGTTTGGATGGATTGAAAGCTTAATTTAATCTTAGAACTAAGATGTATATACAGTTTCTATGTGTGGACGTCAATCAGTTGGTAAAAGCTCTTAATTAAATAGAATGTTTGGTACTAGATTTGGTGTTTCAGCTTCAAGATGCACAGATGGTATATGGATGGGGCTTTCAAAAGTAGATGATAAACTTATTTTAGTTCTGGATTGCGAAGGATTATTTTCAATTAGAAGGACTGATGATGAAGAGGTTAAATTGTTATAGTAAATAACAAGTATCAGTGACATTACTATTGTTTTCTGTGACATTGATGGTATTAATTAGCCACTATTATCTCTATTTAAAAAATTATAGATATGTTCTGGCAAGATGCAAAGTGATTCTTTCTTTTTAGGTACAATGGTACTTTTAACTAAAAATGTCTAAGATTAAGGAGATTAAAAAAAATTATTTTAAGAAGGTGAGTCTCATTTAAATAAAAAAGAAACAAAAAATACGATCTCAAAGATTTTCCGTAGAGGATTTTCATTCGGTTTTTTGAAGAACTATTTAGATAAAGACTATGATTCAAATCTATAAAATGTTAGAGATGAGCTTTTGTATAAGTAAATTTTGTAAAAAAATTAAGCTAGAAATCCTAAATTTCTAATGAATACACTCAAATACTCAATGATATAAATTTATTTAAATGATGATTAAGATATTGACTTGATAAACAAGTAATCAGAAATTAAGGAATGTTATGACAAATTCGTAGCTTTAATTTATGATATATCATAATAAAATTTCATCAGCAATGAAAGATTAATGCAATAATTTGAATATAAACCAATTTCAGATGATGAAAAAGTATTGATGAAAGAGGAGGTATTTGAATATGTAAAAAATAATTTTATTTTAAAGCGATTAAAATTTAATTTCTTTATTTTAGTAGTAATAAGATTGTGATGATGATGATGATGATGATGATGATGATAATATAAATGATGTTGATGAATAAGACTATTAATCAGAATTAATTAAACTTTAATTTGAAGAAAATATTTAAGGATATGAATATCATCTCAAATAATAAATAGAGTAAAATGCCATTTCGATTTACAATTAGAAAAATTTAATGTTTTAATATAATTAAGACAATTAATAAATTTTGTGGAGAATATTTTAATTTTTGATCAACGTTTTGAAATTTTGATTAAAATTCGCACAAATTTATTTATTTTCATCTATATTTTCTAAGAATTTACTCACTTAATTACATTCATAAGTAAATAAAATATTAATAAATTTGAAATTAAAACAAATTTTCAAAGATAGATTCCATCAATCAATTTTTCATCAAAAAATTAGCAAAGATTTTTCAAAATTTAATCTAATTTTTTTTAAATCTAAACATTTATCTAAATTTCTTTTAATTAAAATTCATTAGTACAGCCTATCCAAAATTTAAAAGACCATCAACTCTAGAAAATATTAAATAATTAGAAGAAGAAATATATGATGATTAAGATAAACGATGTTTATTAGAACAGTAATAGGAAATAGATTTTCAGTAAGAACACTAAGCATAATATAACTATAAAAGTTATAATATTTTGTAAATTAAATAATAAGAAGTGAAATTTTATCCCCAATAAGCTCAGAGCACTTTTTCAGAAAATAAATCTTAGAATAACATGCTTTTAGAAAATATTTTTCAAAATTGCTTTAGAATTTTATAAAGAATAAATTTTAATAATTATATTGATTAAATGTAAAGCTTTTTTGATTCCTTTATAGGATAAAGGACAAATACGATTTAAGAATATTTTAATAATAGAATGCCTAAAGATTCTAAGTATAGCAATATTGTTTTAAAATTCTAATAAAAAATCAATAATGTTATACATTTATTTAAAAAGTAATTTGTTATTTGTAAAAATAAATGTAATAAATGCAATAGATTTTGTATTAACATTTCAGGTCACAAAGGAGATTGTAATTGTGAAACATATCATAAATGTTATACTAAATGCTAAAAATGTAATAATAATAATGAATGCTTTTTGATTTCTGGTCACTAAGGAATACATTATTGTAAGGAAGTAAATCACCTTTGTCAAGAACCCTGCCAAATATCAAACTCATGTAAAGAACTTTGCACATTAGTACCTCATTCAGATAATATAAAGCATAGCTGTTAGAGTGAGCATAAATGTGAACATTAGTGTAGATTATACGATAAGTGTGGAAAATCGTGCTCACTTTAAAGTGGACATGAAGAAATAAATCATTTGTGTGATTCAACTCAATGCTATGATAAATGCAAATTTTGCGACAAACTATGCGGCTTTAATTTACATGATCATGATGTGTTATTGTCTAATTAAGAAAAAAATAAGGAACTTCTTATGAAAGAAGGAAAATTAGTTACTTAACATTTATGTGGAGATTAACATAATTGCTTAGAAAAATGTGAAAAAGCAGGAGTATGCAGTATAACTTATAAAACAGAAGAAAAAACATGGGAAACAGCAACATCTAAATTTGAATATCAATTTATAAAACCTAATAAATCATAAAAATAATGCAATGTTAAAATATAACCTTGGTAAATAACTCATGATGGTGAGCATTAGTGTGAAAGCGCTCATAGATGTGATTAATAGTGCCCAGAATGTTTAAGTTATTGCTTTGAAAATTATAATCACATAGGAAATCATAAAAGCAAAAATCACAGAAATAAAGAAAAGTGTATCTTCGTATCAGAAACAGATTAAATAAAAATTAACTATGAATTAGGTAACATTAGAAAATATTTGCCTGGAGAGAACTCAACGCCTGAAAATTGTCTCTAATCTTGTCTTAGAATGGGTAGAGCTCATATCCATTTAAAAGTTTGCGAAGGAGGAGATAAATGTGCAGAAAAAAAGTATCCTTATGCTCGCCACTCTACTAAGTAGTATAAACCTTACACTGATCTAATTTATGATGAAATGTTATGTAAAGGCTATTGGAATAATATAAACTGGGAACCTCCTGTTGAAGGTGAACACTTATAAATTATATAGTCATGTAATGTAGGATGTTCTCATGACTCACATACATCATCTCCTAATTATTGCACAAGATAGGCATGGCATGAAGGATAGCACTAAATTGATCCTAAAAAATGTGAACACTTAGGATCAGGTATTGTAGATATATGCTTTACTATTGATACTACAGGTTCTATGGGTTGGGCCATGAATAGTGTGAGAGAAACAGTAATAAGTATTTTAAGAAAATTTGAAGGAAGGTCTGATATTATGTACTCTATTGTTTCATATAGAGATCATCCTCCTTAAGAGAGTTCATATGTTTTTAAAATAGATTCTTAATTAACAAATTAAAATGAAATTTTGGAAGTTTTATCAAATATGAGGGCAAAAGGGGGTGGTGATGCTCCTGAAGCTGTTATGGATGGTTTATATAACTCTATAACGTCTATTAATTGGAGAGATCATTCTCAAAGATTTATTTTTCATATTTGTGGTAGTCCACCTCATGGAAAATAATTTGGGATATCTAGCAGCGATAGATCTTGGACAGATAACGGATGTCCTTGTGGTATTAATGAATATTAAATTGCAAATTAGTTGAAAGCTAGAAATGTTTTTTATTACTTGGTTAAAGTACATTCTTCTTTAAATATGATGGAGAATATTTTTAAAAATACTTTTGGCTAATTTTACAAACAAACGATATATTTAGACAACCTAAATGAATTAAATATTGAAATTGTTGAAGTTTTAACAAAAGAAATTAATTTAATGAATGAATTTTATCATATATAGGATTGAATTTTTTCTTAAAACATTATTTTTTTCTTTATGGTGTAAAAAATTATTAACTAAATCAGCAAATTTAAAATATAATTTTAAAGATTTATATTTTATATATGAGTATTTTTATAATTTTGCAATTTTAATTTGTTTTCTAAAGTAATTACACTTTCAACAATACTACTAATTAATAATTTATCTAATTTTTAAAAAATATAAATATACCGTTATTCTTTTAATTTTTCATTTTTTAGATGAATACTCATATCCCGCTGGTTTTTTGCAAGTTTAAAACCACTAAAGTTAAAATAAAAAGTAAAACTTGATTTCCCCTGAGATTTTATTTAAATCATGGTATCTAATTAATTAATCATGATAAATAAAAAAAGGATAGAAATATGATAGATGGATAATATTTAAGATTAAAACATAACTTTATGTAAAAGCTTTGCATTTATATAATTTAATAAGATGTAATATAACACTAAAAGTTTCAAATTATTTTATCGTTTTTGGAGAAACCAGAGGGTTTGCTTATAAGGATTTAATTTATTTTAGTAAATTTAAATTTTTTATTGTTTATGAATAATTTATTTAATTACAAAAATATGAATGATATTTATAAATATAAAATCAATATATTTATCTATTTATATTTTAGTTTAAAAACACTTTCTCAAAATATTATATAATAAAATATATAATGCTATCCAATCATTTTATATTTATTCATCCTTTTTTCACCAGTTGTTTATCATTCGAAATAAAAGACAACTAATCTTTTTGATTTACGACACTTACTTAGTAATTCGAATTTTTATGATGTATTTATTGAGCTAAAAATTTTAAAAGAAATATCAAAATAGAATAAACTTTTAAATTAAAAATTATTCTTTAAATAATAAATAAAATAATATTAGTGGAATAAAAAAGATAAAAAATAAAATAAATAAAAGCTATCAACAATCCAAAACTATTTTTATTTTTACCAAAGGTTAAGTTTCAAATTTGAGAGATTATTGCAATTTGCTATAGCAGAACCTAAGCCTGATGCACCTTCATCACCAATTTTATTGTAACTTTTTAAATATTGATGAAATAATATATCATTAAATAGTTAATAAGAAGGAAAAAATGAAGAAAAAATATGAAATAATAAGATTAATTTATTAATAATAAAAGCAAAAGTTGAAAATATAATGATGAGCTAAATTAACAATGAAAGAACAAAAAAAAGCAAGCACAATAAAAAGAAAAAGAAAAAAGAGTTTTATTGTTTTTAATTAGTTTTTATAATTAAAAATATCACAATCCAAAACAAATAAACTGTTTTTACTCAAGGTTAAGTTTCAAATTTGAGAGATTAATGCAATTTGCTAAAGCAGAACCTAAACATGATGCACCTTCATCACCAATTTTACTGTTACTAATTAAAAATAGAAGAAAAAATATATCATTAAATAGTTAATTAGAAGGAAAAAATAAAGAAAAAATATAATAAGATTTATTAATTAATAGTAAAAGCAAAAGTTGAAAATATAGTGATGAGCTAAATTAACAAAGAAAGAAGAAGAAAAAGCAAGCACAATAAAAAGAAAAAGAAAAAAGATCTTTTTGTTTTTAATTAGTTTTTATAATTAAAAATATCACAATCCAAAACAAATAAACTATTTTTACTAAAGGTTAAGTTTCAAATTTGAGAGATTAATGCAATTTGCTAAAGAAGAACTTAAGCCTTATGCACCCATTACACCAATTTAATTCTCACTTTTTAAATATTGAAGAAAAAATATATCATTAAATAGTTAATTAGAAGGAAAAAATGAAGAAAAAATATGAAATAATTAGATTAATTAACTAATAATAAAAGCAAAAGTTGAAAATATATTGATGAGCTAAATTAACAAAGAAAGAAGAAAAAAAAGCAAGCACAATAAAAAGAAAAAGAAAAAAGAGCTTTATTGTTTTTAATTAGTTTTTATAATTAAAAATATCACAATCCAAAACAAATAAACTATTTTTACTCAAGGATAAGTGTCAAATTTGAGAGATTAATGCAATTTTATAAACCAGTACCTAAGCCTTATGCACCCATTACACCAATTTAATTCTCACTTTTTAAATATTGAAGAAAAAATATATCATTAAATAGTTAATTAGAAGGAAAAAATGAAGAAAAAATATGAAATAATAAGATTAATTAACTAATAATAAAAGCAAAAGTTGAAAATATATTGATAAGCTAAATTAACAAAGAAATAAAAAAAAAAGCAATCACAATAAACAAAAAAAGAAAAAAGAGCTTTTTGTTTTTAATTAGTTTTTATAATTAAAAATATCACAATCCAAAACAAATAAACTGTTTTTACTAAAGATCAAGTGTCAAATTTGAGAGATTAATGCAATTTGCTAAAGCAAAACTTAAGCATGATGCACCTTTATCACCTATTTTATTGTTACTTTTTAAATATTGAAGAAAAAACATATCATAAAATAGTCAATTAGAAGGAAAAAATGAAGAAAAAATATGAAATAATAATATTAATTAATTAATAATAAAAGCAAAAATTGAAAATAAAATGATGAGCTAAATTAAAAAAGAAATAACAAAAAAAAGCAAGCACAATAAAAAGAAAAAGAAAAAAGAGCTTTATTATTTTTAATTAGTTTTTATAATTAAAAATATCTCAATCCAAAACAAAAAAACTGTTTTTACAAAAGGGTAAGTGTCAAATTTGAGAGATTAATGCAATTTGCTAAAGCAGAACCTAATATTGATGCACCTTTTGCACCAATTTAATTACCACTTTTTAAATATTGAAGAAAAAATATATCATTTAATAGTTAATTAAAATGAAAAAATGAAGAAAAAAATATGAAATAATAAGATTAATTAATTAATATTTTTAATGAGTTTTTATAATTAAAAATATCACAATCCAAAACAAATAAACTGTTTTTACTGAAGGTTAAGTGTCAAATTTTAGAGATTAATGCAATTTGCTAAACCAGTACCTAAGCCTGATGCACCTTCATCACCAATTTTATTGTAACTAATTAAATATTGAAGAAAAAAATATCATTAGATAGTTAATTAGAAGGAAAAAATGAAGAAAAAATATGAAATAATAAAAGCTAAAGTTGAAAATAAAATGATGAGTTAAATTAACAAAGAAGAAAGAGCAAAAAAAAGCAAGCACAATAAAAAGAAAAAGAAAAAACAGCTATATTGTTTTTAATTAGTTTTTATAATTAAAAAATATCACAATAAAAAACAAATAAACTGTTTTTACTTAAGGTTAAGTGTCAAATTTGAGAGATTAATGCAATTTGCTAAAGCAGAACCTAAGCCTTGTGCACCCATTACACCAATTTTATTCTGTCTTTTTAAATATTGAAGAAAAAATATATCATTAAATAGTTAATAAGAAAGAAAAAATGAAGAAATAATATGAAATAATAAGATTAATTTATTAGTAATAAAAGCAAAAGTTGAAAATAAAATGATGAGCTAAATTAACAAAGAAAGAAAATATAAAATCAAGCACAATAAAAAGAAAAAGAAAAAAGAGCTTTATTCTTTTTAATTAGTTTTTATAATTAAAAATATCACAATCTAAAACAAATAAACTGTTTTTACACTAATTCAAGTGTTAAATTTGAGAGATTAATGCAATTAGCTAAAGCAGAACCAAAGCCTGATGCACCTTCATTGTTAATTTTATTAGAACTTTTTAAATATAGAAGAAAAAATTGAAAAAATAGGAAATAATATGAAATAATAAGATTAATTAATTGATAATAAGAAAAAGTTGAAAATATAATGATAAGCTAAATTAAAAAAGAAAGAAAAAAAAAACAAGCACAATAAAAAGAAAAAGAAAAGGAAAAGGAAAAAGATCTTTATTATTTTTAATTAGTTTTTATAATTAAAAATATCACAATCCAAAATAAATAGATTGTTTTTACGTAAGGTAAAGTTTCAAATTTGAGAGATTAATGCATTTTGCTAAACAAAAACCTAAGCCTGATGCACCTTTATCACCAATTTTATTTTCACTTTTTAAATATTGAAGAAAAAATATATCATTAATTAGAAGGAAAAAATGAAGAAATAATATGAAATAATAAGATTAATTTATTAATAATAAAAGCAAAAGTTGAAAATAAAATGATGAGCTAAATTAACAGAGAAAAAACAAAAAAAAACAACCACAATAAAAAGAAAAAGAAAAAAGAGCTTTTTTGTTTAAAATTCATTTTTATAGTTTAAAATATCATAATCCAAAACAAATAAACTGTTTTTACGAAAGGTTAAGTGTCAAATTTGAGAGATTAATGCAATTTGCTAAAGCAGGACCTAAGCCTGATGCACCTTCATAGCCAATTTTATTTTTACTTTTTAAATATTGAAGAAAAAATATATCATTAAATAGTTAATTAGAAGGAAAAAATGAAGAAAAAATATGAAATAATAAGATTAATTAACTAATAATAAAAACAAAAGTTGAAAATATATTGATGAGCTAAATTAACAAAGAAAAAATAAAAAAAAGCAATCACAATAAACAGAAAAAGAAAAAAGAGCTTTATTGTTTTTAATTAGTTTTTATAATTAAAAATATCACAATCTAAAACAAATAAACTGTTTTTACGAAAGGTTAAGTGTCAAATTTGAGAGATTAATGCAATTTGCTAAAGCAGAACCAAAGCCTGATACACCTTCATCACCAATTTAATTACCACTTTTTAAATATTGAATAAAAAATATATCATTAAATAGTTAATTAGAAGGAAAAAAAGAATAAAAAATATGAAATAATAAGATTAATTAACTAATAATAAAAACAAAAGTTGAAAATAAAATGATGAGCTAAATTAACAGAGAAAAAACAAAAAAAAACAACCACAATAAAAAGAATAAGAAAAAAGAGCTTTATTGTTTTTAATTAGTTTTTATAATTAAAAATATCACAATCCAAAACAAATAAACTGTTTTTACTTAAGTAAAAGTGTCAAATTTGAGAGATTAATGCAATTTGCTAAAGCAGAACCTAAGCCTGATGCACCTTTATCACGAATTAAATTCCAACTTTTTAAATATTGAAGAAAAAATATATCATTAAATAGTTAATTAGAAGGAAAAAATGAAGAAAAAATATGATAATAAGATTAATTAATTAATAATAAAAGCAAAAGTTGAAAATAAAATATGAACTAAATTAACAAAGAAAGAAGAAAAAAAAGCAAGCACAATAAAAAGAAAAAGAAAAAAGAGCTTTATTGTTTTTAATTAGTTTTTATAATTAAAAATATCACAATCCAAAACAAATAAATTGTTTTTACATAAGGTTAAGTGTCAAATTTTAGAGATTAATGCAATTTGCTAAACCAAAACCTAAACCTGATGCACCTTTATCACCAATTAAAGTATAACTTTTTAAATATTGAATAAAAAATATATCATTAAATAGTTTTTTTTGAAGGAAAAAATGAAGAAAAAATATGAAATAATAAGATTAATTAATTAATAATAAAAGCAAAAGTTGAAAATAAAATATGAGCTAAATTAACAAAGAAAGAAGAAGAAAAAAGCAAGCACAATAAAAAGAAAAAGAAAAAAGATCTTTATTGTTTTTAATTAGTTTTTATAATTAAAAATATGACAATCCAAAACAAATAAACTGTTTTTACTCAAGGTTAAGTGTCAAATTTGAGAGATTAATGCAATTTGCTAAACCAATACCTAAGCCTGATGCACCTTCATCACCAATTTTATTGTAACTTTTTAAATATTGATGAAATAATATATCATTAAATAGTTAATAAGAAGGAAAAAATGAAGAAAAAATATGAAATAATAAGATTAATTTATTAATAATAAAAGCAAAAGTTGAAAATAAAATGATAAGTTAAATTAACAATGAAAGAACAAAACAAAGCAAGCACAATAAAAAGAAAAAGAAAAAAGAGTTTTATTGTTTTTAATTAGTTTTTATAATTAAAAAATATCACAATCTAAAACAAAGAAACAGTTTTTACTCAAGGTTAAGGGTCAAATTAGAGATATTAATGCAATTTGCTAAAGCAGAACCTAAGCTTGATGCACCTTCATTACCAATTTAATTGTTACTTTTTATATATTGAAGAAAAAATTTATAAATAGTTAATTAGAAGGAAAAAATGAAGAAAAAATATAATAAGATTTATTAATTAATAGTAAAAGCAAAAGTTGAAAATATTGTGATGAGCTAAATTAACAAAGAAACAACAAAACAAAAAAAAGTAAGCACAATAAAATGAAAAAGAAAATAGAGCTTTATTGTCTTTAATTAGTTTTTTTTATTGAAAATATCACAATCCAAAACAAATAAATTGTTTTTACTAATACAGAAGCTACGGAAGCTCCGGCAACTACATGGAGTGACGTTGATACTATATATAATATTTGAATTAAATAAATAAACAAATTGCTTTGAAAACCCTTATCTAGACCTACAGATTAACACAAAAAAATAAATAAAATAAAATATATAAAATTGTTTTTCTATAATATAATTTAATTAAGATGTATTCTGAGTGCATATTTATGTGCGAGTATTCCATTCCATTCCATCATCAATTTTATTTTTTCTTTTTAAAAATTGAAGAAAAAATATATCATCAAATAATTAATTAGAAGGAAAAAATGAAGAAAAAATATGAAATAATAAGATTAATTAACAAAGAATAAAGAATGAAAAAATAAGAAATCATAATAAAAAGAAAAAGGAAAACAAATCAAATAAATTAAAAGAACTACAATGTTTTAAATTAACTTTTATAATTAAAAATATTACAATGTAAAACAAATAAATAGCTTTTATTAAGTGTAAGTTTTAATAGCAAAAAATCTAGAAAAAATATCAAATTATAAAAAATAAATAAATAATTAATAAAAAATTGAAATGAAAATTAAGTTAAAATAGTTAAAAAATTTTAGTTTTAATAAAAATAAATTAATAAATAACGATGATAATTTCTTTTATAAAAATTATTTATTTAAATAAATTGAAAATTAAATATTCAAAAAATATCAATAATAATAAAAATAATATTTTTTAATTAAATATACCTCAGATCAATATGGAGAATTTAATGAGATAAAAGTGAAGAGCTTTTAAACTTTTTTTATTAATTTACATAAATTTAAGGATATTAATAAAAAAATTAATAATTACTTCTTCTAATTCTTCGTAATATTTAATCTATTATATCATTTATTTTTTTTCAAAAAGATTGAATAGCAATTTATGGAATTTAATTAATTAATTAATTAATTATAAATGAATAAGAAGAACAAATAAATATAATAATTAATTAATTAATGATAAAATATTAATTTATATATTTGGTTTTATGAAGAGATAGATATCACAGAAAAATTAATTTAACATTCACTATTTAAACTTAATATTTGGATTTAAAATAAACACTTAAAAATATATAAAATAGGAATTAGAGATGGCCAGTTAGTTATTTATTTAGTCATATTTGAAAAAATTTAGTAATTAATTATTGTTCTTAAATATTATAAAAATAATGTTGCTAGTAGATTTTTCTGTTTTAACTCTGTAATTTTAGGAATATTTATAATATCTCTAATTATAGCAAGATGCCATACTAAAATTTCATGGTTTGCATGCCACTTATAATGAAATATATTTTTTATTTATTAAAAAATTTGATTTATATATATATTTTTTTAATAGAATTATAATTAATTCATTAATAATTTAATTTATTTTAATTTCAAAAATAAATAATTTTTTTACATCAAAATTTTTAAATTGAGCTAAATTTTTTATAAAATGTTTGACTAAATATTTTTTTAATTTTAATTTACCATGATTGAAGCTCATTTAGAAACCTTTTTTTAGTTTTTTTAAAAATTTGATATGTATTTATTTATGTTTCAAATAAATTAGTTTTTTCAAATAAAAAATGAAATATCACAAATAAAAACATTTTATCATTTGCTAAGAAAGAATGAATAATTTTTTACTTCAATAAATCATATCATTTAAAAAATAAGTTTTTGCCATCTATTATTTTAATGATTTTTGAAAAACTTAAAACTTTTTTAAGTAGAATTTTAGTAAGCTTTACTAATTAATATTGTAATAATAATATTTTTTTGTGTTTAAAATGGATGAATTGTTTATTTTTGATTAAATTCATACAAATCTTTAAATGCTAATGCTAATTTGATTGTTTATTTGATATTTATTTATTTAAAATTTATTCTGATGGAGATTATCTATCAACTTAGAATATTCTTTTATTTATTTAAAGCTTATTAATTTAGACAAATTTTCTTTCTACAATAATATAGAATAAACATTTTTATATTAACTGTTTAATCAGATTTTATTTGTTTTCTCTTATATATATTTATTTAAGATTTTAACTACATTTGTTAATATTTACTAAGTAGAATTTAAGAAATTATCTGCAATTAAAAAAAAGCATAAAACACTGCAAAAAAAAATAAATTAAAAATGAGTCCTGAAAGTAGTCAGAATAAATACCTCGCAAAGAACGGAAAAGATATAAATAAATTGGAGGAAGTGATAACAGATCTAATTTCAAAGTTTTAACCAGAGGATAAATAGTTTGAAGAGGAATTCTTTAAGTATGCTTAAGCTTACCAAAGTGAGATAAATAGCTAATAAGATATTGTAATGTCCTATCCAAAAAATCAAAAGAAATTTGTTGAAAGATATGAGTAGTTTAAATATAGCTTTCCTCAAAAGATGAAAGACCAGTTTGGTGATTTTAAAATGATGCTGTTTCTCAAAAGATTTCATTGGAAGAGGTTAAAAATTCTGAATATTAAGTTTGAAATGGTGTCTTATCTTTACTAGGGAGGAAAATCCGATTTGTTAAAAATTGACCTGAAATTCAATTAATTTTGATTTCTATTCAACATTAAATGGGAAGATAAAATTGTCTATACAAGGAGAACAATTTTGATTGCTACAAAATTTTATTTTTTTTTAAACTTCTCTATAAAGATGAAAAGTATGAAACTGTGCTTGAGACTTATAGAGCTTAACCTAATCTCGCAGTATATATTTGAATATGTCCTTTGTCAATTATGAATACTGTATATACTTGTAACTACAGCAGTTATATTCCATTGTTTTACAATTCTTCATTAATGAATGAATTTAAAGGTGGACGGAGGAATTTAGATAAATAATGATTATCAATGTAATCATTAAATTTAATTAATTGCAAGTTTGCTTGAATGAAAAGATCTGTAGGTGGAAATTTAGTGAAAATATTAACTCCATCAAAGATTGGAGTACTATAAAATGAAATGAACTTCATTTTTTAGCTTTTCAAATGTACTACTCAAACTCTTATATCTTCATTAAATAGATTAAAAAAGTTTATCAATTTGAGCTTTTGTGATTCTAATAATATCATAATTTTATTTATACTATTTTCATGGGCGTTTATGACATGAATTATCCAATTTCATTTTAATTACCTAATCAAAGTCAAAATTAATTATGATTGAAGATAATTTATTTAAAATTTACCACATAATTTTATTAATACAAATTTATTTCTCTCAATTAATTAATTTTGCAAATTTTATTTAGTATGCTTGATCTTTCAATTTAGAAATTTCTTAATAGATTTCATAATTTTTCTATTGCAGTATCCTCTATTTTAATTTATTTCGAAGTTAAAT